TATTAATTTGCTAAGAACTGAGAGGGTTGTTGTCTGACGAACCTCTGCAGGAAGCTTGTTGAAGAGTGAAGGGGCCACGACCATGGTTCGTAGTGTTAGCTTTTTTTGGCTCCTTGGGTGTCACAATGTTTAACATCAAGGACTGCAAGGAGAGGGTGGGAAAGGTAGCTGTTTTGTGGGAGAGAGATTCTGACAGAAGAGTAGTGCTAGTATAAATGGGAGGGAGAAAAACTGGGGCAACAGGTTCACTGAGCTATCCACCCCAGCCCCACATTCCCTTCACTGGTCACACCAAACAAAGGAACATAAAGGAAGATAGCGCATGGATTCTCTAACTACAGATACAAAGGAAATTCCATATGCAAAATACTAAGGATTCTTGAATGCAGTCAGTGCTGTGCATAAATATTACACCGGGAGTTTGATTCCTCACTGTGCTTCCTGCGAATAGAGCCAATTTGTGAGGTCTTCGGTAAGCTGTGCAGTCCCAGGACAACCCCAGAAGAAGGGAATGTACACCACTTCTGAGTATTCTCTATCTAGAAAACTCTGAAAAAGAGTCACCATAAGTTGGAACTGACACCCAGCCCCACATTCCCTTCACTGGTCACATCAAACAAAGGAACATAAAGGAAGATAGAGCATGGATTCTCTAACTACAGATACATAGGAAATTCCGTATGCAAAATACTAAGGATTCTTGAATGCGGTCAGTGCTGTGCATAAATATTACACCGGGAGTTTGATTCCTCACTGTGCTTCCTGCGAATAGAGCCAATTTGTGAGGTCTTCGGTAAGCTGTGCAGTCCCAGGACAACCCCAGAAGAAGGGAATGTACACCACTTCTGAGTATTCTCTATCTAGAAAACTCTGAAAAAGAGTCACCATAAGTTGGAACTGACATGACAGCTTCTTCTTCTTCTTCTTCTTCTTCTTCTTCTTCTTCTTCTTCTTCTTCTTCTTCTTCTTCTTCTTCTTCTTCTACCCATTATGGTTGTTAACAGCTGTTAACATGTTTACTTTAGTGACTGCACTTTATAAATGGAGCATTTTTCTCATTGGGGCTCTGCATTACTATGGGTAGCTTTGTTAGGATGGTGATTCAAAAAGAATGTTTTCTATGTGATTCTGTTGTCTTTGCCCAGGATGATCTCAAATTATTCATAACCAGACTTGGGGTGGGGGCAGAATGGGTATTCTAAAGTCAGTGAAATGTACATGAGAAAGAATTGCACTTATTGGTATCACTTCTCCAGTAACCGTGTGCATTTTAAGTGTTGTAGGACAGCAGAACAATAGAGTGGAAAAGAACCATCCTGCTCTCAGCTGCATGACCATTCTGGCATGTTTGAAATGAATTAGGAAATTTATAAAAATGTAAAAGATGAAGCATCATTTGTGAGAATTTTGCTTGTTGCTTACTTGCTTACTTAATTATTTCCAACCTTCCTTTTCTCCAAAAGGGACCCAAGGTAACCACAAAAATAGTGCCATGTATGCTGACAAAAATGTAGACATAAATAATAATTCCTATTATTTACAACACAATTAAGCTTATGTTTCTGTTTAATTTCAAAAAGGTAGGGGACAAAGACAAAAAAGGCATTTTAAATATGTGACTTACATTATGATTCTTTAAAGATATACTCTGAGTTCTATGAGACAGAGCATCTGGCTACATAGCCAAGGTTCAAGGGTTCAATGCCCCTCTGTGCCTTCCAGAAGAACAGCCAGCCTGTGTGGCCTTGGGGAAATTACATGCTAACAGACTATATCCAGAAGGGAATGGCAAACTGCTTCTAAATACACTAGAGACAGAAAGCCCTGGAAAGGATCACTATACGTTGGAACTGACTTGAAAGCACATAATTGTTATTATAGATTGGTCATACAGAAAAAAGCTCCTGTATGACTTTCAAATATAGACACATAGTTTAATCTTGTGAGAACATACCACAAAAAGAACTTTGGACTCAAGTGTTCTCCTATCCTTTGCACATGGAGGAAGGAAATCTGAAACTTCCAGTTGTGCTTTATAATGGACAACAGTACATAGCAAACCAGGAAATTGTGATTCGTACAAAAGACAGCAAGATATCAAACTAGGATTGGCAGTAGTCAGTATACAGATCTGCCAGAAGTCTCACTTTTGGACTGTAAAAGGGCATCCAATATTGAACCTACCCAAAATTCTCAAAGTATTTAAGAGTCTATAATTTAAATCATCCTGAGTGTCTGGAATGAAATGTGGGACTTTAATGGCCAAATGCAGACACTGAAGTACCAGCTGGTTTTGGTCTTCAGATTTATACAATATATCCCATCAAACGTTAAACTAACTTCACAGATCGAAAAGGGTTGCATTGCTTTTCCGTACATGGACCACGCTGAAATGCAAAGACGGCAAGTGGGCCTGATTCATGACTACTCCTTTGTTATATTCTCATGAGAAAAGATCTACGTGTAAATTCTAAAGTGAGTGACAAGGGCTGAATTCCTTTATTGACAGAAGTGATTAGTTACCCATTTCAGAAAGTTTTGCAGAAACTTGCCTTTCCCCTGGCAACCTCTGTTGCCCCTTTCTCACCCTTTCCTTCCCTTAGGCAGTCTCAGGGTGGGGTGCGGGAGGCCACCTGTTATTAACTCCCAGTTTATATTGCAACTTTACATATATCTGGTAGCTATTTTTTAAAAAACCCATTTAGAATGGGGTCACAAGGTGAAGCCTTTCATCCAAGTACTCTCATGTACAGGGGGAAACATTCTCAACCAAACTGATGAGAACCGTACAGCCCTGTGCAAGTAGGAGTTATACCTTGAATATCTTATGTTCAGGATTAGAGCCCTATGGTCCCAAATGTGGATTATCTATTACAGCAATTGGTTCTTCCAAAACCAATTATCTTCCTGTGTAAACAGAGGGACAGAGAAAAAGAGGGGGGGGGAGAGAGAGACTGAGTATAAATTCATTATCAACCAATGAGAATTGAGGGAGCAACTAGATTGTTGTTTCTGCCATGTTTGTCACTGTTTCTTTTGATATTTATTCCATCAACTACATGATGTTGGCATTAATCACAAGTATATCCAATCTTTTGGCACAATTATTATTACATTTTGTTTGATTGGCAGGATTTATGGTTTTCTTACTGTTTCCGATTGCATCATTTTCTCTTGCTTCTGGCTTGTGTGATCATCATAATCTTAGAACTGGAGGGCTGGAAGGGACCCTATGGATCGTCAAGTCTAGCCCGTCAAAGAGGCATAGTGGTGAATTGAATTTCCATCATCTAGCCCCACAGCCAGACACACACACCCTTGAGCCATAAGTTTATATCGGTCCTTTAGGGCCATTGTTGTACATCTCCAGATGATGTCACTAATGGCCACAGAGTGAGGCATAGTGGGGAAGTGAACCCTACTTTTGCCTGTCTTCTGCTCATAGTTGTAGTCCTCACTGATGAAGACTACAAGTACAATGCAATTTCAAAATTGTGCTTTAAAATATTTTTTCTCCAAGGTTGGCTATAGTGTTGAACTAATACAGCACTAATTCAAATGTTTGCCATGTCTTGTCAATTCAGCACAATTTCACTTGCTGAATGCCATGAGGAAGAAGGGGGAGTTGTTTTGAAATGTACCTCCCCCATAAATTAAATGTTTCTGTGTGAACAACTACAACAGTTTAAATGCTGGGGTGAGGTATAGAGAAGTTCACACCTGGGACAAACTTCCATGTTTTCAATCCCTGAGAAGAACCATATGCAGGGTTTAGTCTTGCAAAATCCAGATCTTCTGACAGATGTTTCCAAGCTGCATTCTCTCTCTTTCTGTTCTCATTGGAGCTAAAATAAACATTGATTATCCCATTGACTTGTTGAAGTGAATATTCTTATTTATTTCATAGATTTTTGAGAACTACCAAATAATGATCAATTCCATTTTCTGTTCAGTTAATTTTTTCTTCTGTAAATAAATACAGAGTCTTGAAGTTCTTAAAATTGTAAGCAGCACAAACTACATAAAAAACTTGCTGGAGGGTTTGTTTTTTAAGTTATATGTTTTGAAATGGTGCTAAAATTCCACAGCTTAATAACGTCAGGTATGTTGTGGTACAATTTCAGTCTATTCTTTACTCGTTCAGTTATCAGCCGCAAGCAACTCTAATGCTTATCAGTAACATATCAGATACAGTTGATGAATTTACCACATGAGAGGAATCTCTTCTAAGCATGTGAGCCACACAGTGGCATCCACAATTACTTCGTAATCTATCTGTCCTTTATAATAGTTCCTCTCCTGACCACTAGCAAGACTGCTAAGTGCTTAAGTGCAGTACTAAAATAATGATCTATATCCTTGTTCTATTTTTATATATTCTTCCACTCCACCCCTAGACTTATCATCTTGCAAAGTGCTCTTTTCCCCTCCTTTGATAGCTTTGTTTATACTAAGACCTGCACCTTGAAGAGTTTATTTATTACCTGCCTCTGGAAACACCTTGATATTGCATAGGACTGGTCAAACAGGAATGTCTGACATTATTATAATTAAAATAGGTCAAATTGTTACATTTCTGTGTTGTCTTTAGCTCTATGGCATATTAATTGAGCTGCTGATCACTGTTATAAAGCACCAATCAACTGTTTTCAACATACAAATCAGATGTGAAATGACAGGATTCCAAGGAGCACAGCACAATCCACAAAGCAAAACTCCAGGGTTTCTAGAATATGTGTGAAGTCTTGCTACAGCACAGTATAGATGTGAAGTAGCATATGATGATTCACTGATGCAGCAATCACTAACCCAGTTTTCATCACTATGACACACTAATACAGAAAAGTTGGCTGGCTGGCCCAAGGCTATATAGTAACACTATACAGCAGCAGATGCACATGGCCTAACACTTGGCCATGTGAATGTTTCTTCAACCTAGTCTACTTCCCACATCATAATAAAGTAATTTGTTATTAAAACTCTATGCAGCCTGCCACAATGCAATGACATCTCAGAAGCAGCCCAACCCCAATGCCTTCAGAAATGGGAAGGGAAAGGGGCGGGACTTTGGGAAGGAAAATCTAAAAGCCCAGGTAACTGGGAATGAGTATAAGGGGTGCTGCCAACCTCACTGATGCTCTTTCTCTTGGTGGTTCTCAATTCTCACTTCAGTTTATTTCCATTTTATTTGGGGGTGAAGGATTTGATAAAACGAAGATGAATGAACCTCAGCCACGATATATCATTAACCGTCCGGCTTATTCTTGCAACAACTTTGATGAAGAGTTTGAGAGGAAAAGTAGGAGTTACCCTCTTGGAGAGAAACTAAAGAATCTTTTCAGGTATGTGAAATTTATTGTCTCAGTGGAAACACACAGATAGCTCACCATTTAATGGTGGTCGGTTGGTGGTCAATCCAAATGAAACTTTTAATGAGATTGCATTTCATCCAATTTGATTTATAATCTGGTTTTGTGCAAATCAGGAGTAAAGAGTCTTAAAACCAGTGTTCCTATTCAGAAACACAACTGAACAGAGATGTCCAACAAATCTTCCTGTAGAATGGGTAGTCAAAGTGATGCTGCACCATCAATCTTGACAATATCGGATATCCAAAAATTCTCAGGCATCAATGGAAACTGCAAAATAAATTAAGAGTCATCTTTTTCTCTGTTTTCTTTTTCTTTTCTTTTCTTGTTAAAGGATTGTTCTTAAACGTTGAGGAGCAGACAATTATTATGTTCCCACTGCCAATGCCGAGAAGGATGAGAAGAAAATTGTGTATATTGGAAAAAGGAGTAAATGTGTTTTCCTTCTGCGTTTCACCATTAGGAAAAATAATAATTAGGGATGACATTAAGGTTGCACTGATTCATTGTCATCAAAATCTGTTATTTGGTGGGGGCAGTTTCATGAATAAATATAATGGTTTTTGCAGAAAAGAAAGATCTGTATTACTGATAAGCACTTTTTAAAGAAACCTCGCTTAATCTTGTATAACACCCTCCCCAGTTGCATATTTAAAAAATTAAAAAGAGTAAGGCAACTGTAAGAATAAGAAGGCATTTATGCCAACCATGGCGAGATCTTCATAGTCTTGCCACACTAAGCTCTTTTTAATTAGGCTTGTTGGTCCTTTATTACTTCAAAGCAGATTTAGGCTCATGTTATCCAGCGATACACTATGGCATCAGAAGGAGTAAGAACAACAAAGTTCTTAGGGAGAATTCTAACTATTTCAAAAACCTCTCTCTCTCTCTCTCTCTCTCTCTTCGTCTACAACCCATGCAACCCTCTAGCTACTGAATGAGTTGCTGACTGACTGTTGCAGCATAGTCAGCACAGCCTGTGCTAAGCTCAGCCAAAAAGCCATATATCCAGGCTCCATGCAAGAAAGGCTGGAAATAACAGAGATGCCATATATTTCTTCTTGTTTCACTTATTATGTCTAGTATGCCTAAAGAAATGAGGTGTGGTACCTCAGTAAAAGACAGCTGAAGCCTGCCCTGAGGCTTACAATCTAAAAAACTAAACACACTTGGGAAAGCGAGGAGTGGGGGCAGGGAAAGACAGAGGCCTGAGGTCAGTTAGAAAATATACCTGGAAGAAGTGAGTCTTGATCAGTTAATCAACAGAAAGAGCCATCTCTATTATGGTACATTACTAACAGAAAGGGGTGGTGTGTGGGTGTGCTGTGGTGATATAGCATTATCTGGGTCTTACGAAGCTCTGAGTTTTCTTCATGGTATTATTATTATTATCATTTATTTATGCAACCTTTCTCCTGAAAAGGGGACTCAAGGTGATTCTATTATTATTTGTTTTAGCTGTGGTCTTAGCCATAATAAAGGGGCACACTCACGCAGAAATTCTGGAATGAGGTCCACCACCACAACCCATTTGGCTATATCCTTTCGTGTAGACACACTCAGGCACATAGACACTCTATTCAGTCATTGTATCCTCTCTTGATAGCCAGATATACTTAGGAACAATAGGGTCCTGTACCAAAATACATACACTATTGAATGGTGGTGTCTCTTCCCCTCCCACTCATTTTTTATATTTCCCCTGCAACAGTTGTCGGCAACCCATTTCCACCAAGTACATGTAGTCTTCATACAATAAATGACTTAGGCCCAGAAGTATATCAGCAGCCAGTGTCCTGTAGACCAGTGGTCCCCAATCTTGGGCCTCCAGATGTTCTTGGACTTCAGCTCCCAGAAATCCTGGCCATCAGAGGTGGTGGTGAAGGCTTCTGGGAGTTGTAGTCCAAGAAGATCTGGAGGCCCAAGGTTGGGGACCACTGCTGTAGACAGATCAAGTATTTTATACTATTTTATATTTTATATGGCCAAGTCTTTGCATCCTTCTGGGCGCTACACTCTGCATTAGTTGCATTTTTATGAACTATTTTCAAAGGCAGTCCCCATTTACAGTACTGAAATAATCTAACCAGGAAGTTTGTTTGTTTGTTTGTTTGTTTGTTTGCTTGCTTGCTTATTTATTTATATACCACCCATCTGGCAGCCAAGACCTCTCTGGGAGGTTTACAACAAGTAAACAAAACAACAAAGTAGCAAAATAACAAATAACAACATCAATACATTAGGGGCACAAATCAAAATCATAAAGTGCAGTGAGGACAAAAATACAACACAATAAAAACAATTAAAAGCATAAAAATAAAAAAACATTACCAGAATATAGAGCACATTAAGCACATTATCCCTGTTCAGAAAGGAACATCGTTGTGTTGCCAGCCAGAAGTGACAAGAGGCATTGTGTGCTACGGAGACCACCTCCCTCAAATGATAGTATGAGATCTGAGAAAATTTGCCAAGCTGTTTACCTGCACCTTTATTAGGAAGAGGCTGCAGACAGATTGGGAAGAGATTGGGCCCCACACCATTCATCTTATGGCAGAAGATACCTGCTTAGACACAAGACACAAGGACTGCTGAGATGCATAACTAAACACAAACACAAAATGCATATGCAAATATATATAATCTAGGCATGGTGAATTAGCAGCAGACAATCAGACACAAGAAGTAGAACATGAATGTTCTCGGTGGTATATGTTTCTTGTGTTACGTATACTGAGCAGCAGACAATCAGACACAAGAAGTAGAACATGAATGTACTCGGTGGTATATGTTTCTTGTATTACGTATATGTGACATAGGTGAGGTGAAAGCTTAACCAAGCAAGTACTACTTAAATAAACTGGATGCATTACTTTCAACTACACAATAATCCCCATATTGACTTTAGATTTGGGTGGCACCCAATGTCGCTGAAAAGTCTCTTAAGATCAGACACAAGAAGTAGAACATGAATGTACTCGGTGGTATATGTTTCTTGTATTACGTATATGTGACATAGGTGAGGTGAAAGCTTAACCAAGCAAGTACTACTTAAATAAACTGGATGCATTACTTTCAACTACACAATAATCCCCATATTGACTTTAGATTTGGGTGGCACCCAATGTCGCTGAAAAGTCTCTTAAGTGGACAGAGCTATGGAATCATGCCAAAGGAATAACTGCTCTCTAGATGGTGCATTTACAGATGATTCCAACAGTGCCACCCAGGGGTGAAAATGCAGTGGTAATACTTTTAATTCCAAAAGAGAAAGGAGCACATTTCCTTGCACCCAGGGGTGAAAATGCAGTGGTAATACAGTACTTTTAATTCCAAAAGAGAAAGGAGCATTTCCTTATACACCAGGAGCATTCACACCTGATGAAGAGTAGGAAGATCCTTAGTAATTGCTGCTTACTACAGATATCCCTTACTGTCTGGGATATTTGTATGCAATAAATCTTAAAACAACAGACATTTTGGTTGCCAATTTGGTACAGAGCTGAAAATAAAGAATTGGAAAAACTAGCAAAGTACAGATTGGATCTGGCAATCGAAACCTCTCACCTCTGGAAGAAACACACCTCAGTAGTCCCCGTAGTCATTGGGGCTTTGGGAACAATATCAAGAAATGTCACATAATACTATAAGCAGTTGCAGATCTCAGAAATCACACCATCAGAGCTACAAAAAACAGCAATATTAGGAACAGCATATATTCTGCGTAGATATTTAACAGATACTTAGGTTTTTGGTTAAAACTTGTATCTGTTCTATAATAACAGTCAATTGTATTTTTATAATTTTGACTGTGCCTGGAGTTGTTTTTTATTATTATTATTATTGTTGTTGTTGTTGTTGTTGTTGTTGTTGCTGCTGCTGCTGCTGCTGCTGCTGTTGTTGTTGTTGTTGTTGTTGTTGTTGTTGTTGTTGTTGTTAAACTCCAGGCACAGTCAAAATTATAAAAATACAATTGACTGCAGAGCTGGAAGTGACCCTAGTGACCCTATTGATGATGAGTCCATTATTGTTTTCTAATTGATGAATTAATTTGCACTCTGCTTAGGTACAGGGAATGCTTAACCCATTTACAAAGTGGTAAAATAAATTTATAATGGAACAAATGATTTAAATAAATTACGTCAACATGGAAGCTGCCAATTAAAATGAGCATGCATCTTTTCACATCAACCTGGGCAGTCTGCTGCAAGCTGGTAGTGCAACTAAAAGGGAGGATTGATTCTCACCCTTTCTTCGCCTGTGATGAACTGTCTGTTTCAGCTTGCGTTACATTCTTTCTTAGGTGAAAGCAAGCTGTTGATGTACCATCACAGAATTTTTTAAATGTGAGATTAGGGAGAGCAGGATCTTATTAGGAAAGCTTCATACTACATACCACATGAGCAGACTACCTTTGGATTAGTGAGAATACACTCTTCAATATGCTTAAACCCACAAGCTGTCCAGGATTCAAGCCAGGCAGGGCATCTTAACCTGAAATATTGATGCTGAGATGCTCCTCGGCTCAGACCATAAGTAGCGCCAAAGTAAATCTAAATGATCTAAATGCAGTGGAGAAAGCAGTCCTATGGTCTAATTAAGATGGCTGTTCCTTTGCACAAATTTAGTCCAGCAGCAGTGTACATACAGCCAACACTTTACCAAGGGAGTATGGGAAAGAAGAATGCAGTGCAGGAAGAGGAGAGCTAGTATTATATATGAGAGTGAGAGGGAGGGAGGGAGGGAGAAGATGGGAGCAAAGGCGAATGAATGAATACAGCAACGCATTAAAAGGCAAACCTATGAGCTTAATTCAACCAACTCAGTGGAGAAGAGTGCTTTAATACAAACTTTAACCTAAGAATTGGCAATATATCTGATGTATGGAATGTTTATTACCTCTCCAAAGTGGCTCAAAAGCAGATTTTATTTTATTTTAATATAGATTATTTTTGTTACACTATCAAAGTGTAACAGCCTGTGGTGGAATGTAATAAAAATTGACTGTTTCTATTCTCCTCCAGCTTCATTGTGCCATAAACAAATGTTATTATAAACAAATTAGCATTGATCCTAATGTTGTCCAGTCAGAATAATTCAATGATATTACTGCACCATTAAGTCTAATGTACATTTACACATAATGGGAAGGGGAAGGGGACATGCTTTGCATAGAAAAGGCCCTGGGTTTGAATTTTGACATCTTCAGTTACAAGTTTAGGCAGCAACAAATAAAGGGGGAATCCTCTGCCTGATACCTGGCTATTCGTCAGGAGCAGACAATTCTGGCAAACAGCCAGTGGCAAATATATGAAGACAAATTTGAAAGGAAGTTTTACTGGAGCAACAGGACTACAGGAAGTTCTACTGGAGCAAACATTCACCACACCAGGTTGAATTAAAGAGCATAAATGTGCAGTTATATCCTGTTGATTTCTCATGTCCCACTGCTGAAGTAGGCCACTCATGCTTACTTTGTTCTATTAGCTAATCTGCTGAACAGGTTGTTCCAGGGCTTCTCAGGCTAATAGTACTCATTGTGTTTACTCTCCCAGTAATATCCTAAATAAGTATAATGATTTTAATAAAAATTTGTTTTGGCCTGAAGATCCCTTGAAAGATGTGTCACAACTGGAAAACAAACCTGAGTAGACATCAAAAGAATTTAGCTAGGTATCATGTTTTCCAGAGCCTGATGGAGGCTGAGATAATGGGATACTGACCCATTACTACAGTAAGCAGAGGCACTAATTATAAATAATAGGGCAATACATTATATATTTTTCCATTGTGCTAGTTGCATGTGAGTGGAGAAAACCACAAGACTAAAATAGCGGCTCCTTAGATAAGGATTTGGCAGGGCTGTTCCAAAATATTTTACTGCCTGAAGGCAAGGCAAAATGGTGTCCTCCTTTTATTCATTTTATTTTATTGTAAGAATCTTATTTTAGTACTGGCAACTGGAGAGCATCCCTCACCACCACAAGGCAACTCTTCTTGAAGGGCAAGGAAAACAATCTCTGTGGCACACACTAGTTTTTTTATAAAAAGAGAGAAGTCATCAGGAAGAGAGATGGGTGGGGAGACTATAACTCTGCCCACTACCACCTTCCTTCCGCCTAAGGCATTTGCTTCATTCTACATTATGGTGAGGCCTTGTGTTTTGGGTCATGACATGAGCGATCAACTCCCACAAATACTCTTTTTGTGAAAATACTCCTTGCAATTTCTATGTCTCCTTTCTCTTTAGATGTTCACCATCCAGACTGAAACTCATCCTGTACAGCTTGTTCCCCATACTTGTATGGCTTCCAAAGTACAAAATCAAAGATTACATTGTGCCTGATGTCCTTGGTGGAATCAGTGGTGGGACCATTCAAGTGCCTCAGGGTAAGAGAACGCTCCCTTATCCACATTATCCAAACATTATTTAGGATACTTGAACCACAGGACACATTGAAGCTAATATCTATGTACTTTGTTCAAGCACCACATGGAAAGAATGGCTTAATAATCCTGGTTACATGCGTCTATTTATGGCCTAATGGCCTGCTAGCTCAAAATGCCAATTTGTTGGTTTGTCACCTATTTGTTTGAACCTATTGCTTTCTCCTGCTCCAAATATCTAAGAAGCCTCCACCCCATCATCATGATTGTCTGGGGGAAGTAATACATAAGCCAGAAAGTGTTAATACACATTCCTTGAAACCCCATACGCAGCCATGGTCATGCTCTTTGTCATAGAAGGTGACAGATATGCTTACCCACCCCTTTTTACCAGATATTGTGGCACAATTATTAGAAAAGAAACATCCTTATATCATCTGCATGGTATCATGACTTTCTATAATATCCAAGAAATCATGTTCCTTCTTCCATAAGAAAGAAATCTCAGATTTCCTTAAATAGCATTTTTTTCTGATAGTCTTTTGCCATATTCCCAGTTCATATCTCCTTTTCCTTTCCACTTTCTTTTCCCCCTCTTCCTCTTTCCCATTCCTGTTGAGTTTTTCCAAGGATAAATGTTCTAAAACACAAACTCAAATTTACCAGACAGCATTTACCATACATTGGCATGGGTGCCTTAGCTTATACGTCACTTCTCCCCCAAATTTGTAAGGTCAGAAGAGTTCAACCTGGGAGATTTTTCAAGGCTAAACCTGAGGCTATTGCCTAGCCTCTCTGATCATTGGTGGAGGGTAATCTTAGCTTTTTAGGGCCTCGTGAACCCCTTAGCCTAATAATTTCTTTTTAAAATATTTTTAATTTTAAAACATAAGCATACAAACCTAAAGGAAAAAAAACTATTAAAACAAAACATCAAAAACAACTATACAGAAAGTGTTCCCTCCCCATTTAGACCATTTGGAGATATAACCAGTTTTTCTTCCCTTTATGGACCTCCATTCTTCTCCAAAATTTATTGACTCTTAGAAAGGTATGCATCCGTTCCTCTTTATTAATATAAATGCAATAAATTCTTCCCACATATCTGTAAAATGATTCTTATTTAACAATCCCTTCTTTATGTTAATTTATCATCAATAGCTATATCCCTAAACTTTTTATACCATTCATTTAATTGAAAACCATACTTTACTTTCCAATTCGTAGCTACCATTAATCTTGGCACTCTTACTAAATTTGATATTAACTCTTTGGTTGACCAATTACATTTCACCAAATCAAAAATTGATAAAAGCAATATTTTAAGGTTTGCCTCTAAATTTAACTTGGTTTCCATTCTTTCCTCAAAAACTAACTGCAAAAATTTCAGTATGATCTCATATTCCCACCAAATATGAAATTAAGTACATATTTTTGACATCCTCTCCAACGCAACTTAGAATATTTTGTATCTGTTTTAATTTTGATCTCCAAACTAACATATAAAACCTTTACTTTATCCTTACAGATATAAATTTTAATATTCTTATGTCTCATATTTTCTCCCAACTCCTGGTACTTAATTCTTCTCCCAAAACATATTCCTATAAGGTTTTAATAGAATCTTCTGCTTCCAATAATATTTTATACATTTTACTTATTATTCTTTCATTATCTTATTTTCATTTGCACTTTCCTAATAATTTCAAGAAACCTCTGACCCAATTGATCCAGATGCCTGGCACAAGCTCTCACTAGGAACTAGTCAGCCAAAACCATATGTGGCCAAGGCATCAAATGGCAAAGAGGGAAGGAGGCCTGTGGGAAATAGAGAGCAAAAGCAGGATGACAGAAGAGTGAGGAATGGGACTTGCTTAATTCACTGTTGGTTCTGGCTCCATCCACCCTTGGCATCAACCCTACCCACTAACAGCATGCACTTTGTAACAGATGAACTCTGAAGGAATACATTCCCTGATGCAAAAACAATAACAAAACACAACAACCACTCCCCATACTTATCATAGATTAATAGCTGTACTACTATGGATCAGCTGTACTACTATGATTAGCTTCTATGTACATCTCTATATATATCCTTGCTGACAAAGGTCCTCATCGTCAAAGCTATGGTTTTCCCTGTAGTGATGTATGGAAGTGAGAGCTGGACCATAAAGAAGGCTGACCATCGAAGAATTGATGCGTTTGAACTGTAGTGCTAGAGGAGACTCTTGAGAGTCCCCTGGACTGCAAGGAGATCAAACCTATCCGTTCTGAAGGAAATCAACCTGGAGTGTTCATTACAAGGACAGATCCTGAAGCTGAGCTCCAATATTTTGGCCATCTCATGAGAAGACTCCCTGGAAAAGACCCTGATGTTGGGAAAGTGTGAAGGCAAGAGGAGAAGGGGATGACAGAGGACGAGATGGCCAAACTCCAGAAGGCACTGGAAGACAGGAAGGCCTGGGGTGCTCTGGTCCATGGGGTCATGAAGAGTCGGACACAACTTAACGACTAAACAAAAATGTCTCTATTATTTTTTGAGGAACATGGTGGCCCACAATCCTGATATATTGTAAATGGCATGTTCTTACTGTAACACTGATTTCCGCACAGCAGGTCAGTTTCAAGGAAGAATGTTTTGAGAAGTGCTCTTCACTTGTGTTTTTCAGGCATGGCCTTCGCTTTGCTGGCTAACCTACCTCCAGTCAATGGACTCTACTCTTCCTTCTTCCCTCTGATAACCTATTTCTTCTTAGGAGGTGTTCATCAGATGGTCCCAGGTAAGTTCACATTTCCCATTTTAGTGATTGAATCAAATATACCATATTTTTCTGTTTATAAAACACTCTCATTTACAAGACACACACACCCAATTTTCTAACCCAAAAATTAAGAAACTTAGCTTTGAGGAGTCAGCCTTTGGGCTCAGAACACTGGACATTTTGTCTCTGTTGAATCTTGAGGCTCCACCTCCAGGGCGGTGCGTTCCAATTGGTTTGTTCAGGATGAGCTGACATCAGTTCCATGAGGCCTTCAGGATCAGCTGACATCAGTTCCATAAGCCCATTGATGGGAGGAAGCTAAGTCTCCTGACTGTAGGAAACTAAGCCTTGTGGCTGAAGAAAGCCAGAGGCAGGGTATGTGCCATTTTGTTCTCAGTTATCTCAGCTTATTATTATATATTAGGCATCTTTCAGTCTCAAGAGACTATGGTAATGTGCTCTGAATGGAGGACTTGGAACAGCATCTATTGTGGCTGAGAAGGCCAATTCGAGAGTGACAATCCCTTCCACACTGGACAATCTGTCCCCAGTCCAGCTCCCTGATTTTTCTGGTTTTGGGACTGCCTCTTTTCCTCAGCCTGCTGGACAAGTATCTCTTCAAAATGCAAGAGGCCATGTTTCATCACCTGGTTTCCCATCTCTTAAGGCCTTCAGAACCTGCTTGCTGATATCCTTGTATCACAGCTGTGGTCTCCTTCTGGGGCGATTTCCCTGCACTAATTCTCCATACAGGAGATCTTTTGGAATCTGACCATCAGCCACATCTCAGCTTATTTCCATGTAAAAGATGTCCCTCAATTTTTAGGGTAATGATTTTATGAAAAAGTAACGTCTTATAGATGGAAAAATGCAGTCCATATTATCTTCTTGAGTTTTGCTTCATTGGTTGCCCCTACCCAGTTAGATATCTGAGCATGCAATTTAAAAGCAATATATATCACCTTGTAAAGGTCCAGATTAGGCACAGGGTAGGGTCAGGCTCATTCACAGTCTCCAGAATGTCATTTGGCCACCAGAAAATAGATCAAATCAGACTGTGTTCTGGGTGCTCCAAAAAGTGACCTAAATCACCATCTGATCCCACCCTCAGTTCATTAATGAAGTAAGTGCTGAAGCTCAGTTTCACCAATTGTGAGTCTGAGGAAAAACTGACCCACACATTTTGTTTTTCAGGAATCAGTCAACCACCAGTTATTTGCTTTCTGTCATCTTGCTACCAGTCATGCCATTAGGCATACTGAGAATAAGAGATTCTCTCTACTTCACTTTTATTCATTGCCACTAAGCTTTTATGAAGTGACTACTGACACTCAAAAATTCTGTGGAAGCTTAAGCACAGAATGACAGTGGATGTGCCAGGGAGAAGCATCAAGAAAATCATTTATCTCTAATCAGGGATTGGAAATAAGAGTTTCAAATAAGAGGGCATTTTGTCTTTGATAAAGCTTTCACTGGCCAGGATGAAAGGTTTAATTCTTGGTAAGAGGGGCAGGACTTCAGAGAGAACCAATGGATGGAGTGGGGCACCCCCCTTGGCTGGAGGTTCTGAATCTCTGATGTAAAAGCAATCTGCTGGGTAGTCTATTCAGGATAGTTGATCTACATGCAGCCAGACATTCTTCAGCCATTTAAAGACTTCTAGCAGCTGTTCCTTTGTACATGAGAAAAAGCTTTGCATGAAAACAGAAGCTACTACTGATCTGTTTCCCACAGGCACTTTTGCAGTCATCAGTATTATTGTGGGGACTGTCTGCCATGAGCTGGCTCCTGATTCAGAATTCCAGTATTTTAACCATACAGCCAATGAGATTATGATCAACAACACAGCAATGGAAGCAGCCAGACTGGAAATCTCTGCCACCTTGGCTTGTTTGACTGCTATAATACAGGTAAAGAAAACCAGTATCCAAAAAATGGTGGACTATTCAGTCTTGCATGGGGATAGATAGTAACTGTTTGTGTGCTCAGTAGTGGGGAAAGCAAAGGAATGATTGTATAACAACATTTTGACTATATCAGCATATCAAATATATTTATGCTTGCAATTATCAGTAGGGTTTACAGCAGTGGTCCCCAACCTTGGGCCTCCAGATGTTCTTGGACTTCAACTCCCAGAAATCCTGGACAGTGGAGGTGGTGGTGAAGGCTTCTGGGAGTTGCAGTCCAAGAACATCTGGAGGCCCAAGGTTGGAGACCACTGGTTTACAGGACATAAGCCAGATGTTTTCTTCCACAGCATGGCATTCAATGCTTTATGCTGGACAACAGGCTTTTTATTTTTGAGACCACATTATATTTGCTTAAGGGAACCATGAAGCCAGAATTCTGCTTTCAACTAGCCTAAAGCAATTATTTTAAAGGGTTTTTTAAAAAATAGATATTTATACTTGTTGCACTTTTCATCTATTAGCTCAGAATGTGCAGTGGAAAAAAGTATGAATATTACAAAATCGTTTCCCATCCCCCTTACTCACAGAAAGAAGAATCAAAATTTGGAAAAGTTACTGGCCATGCTGTCTGGGGAATTTAAGGAGTTAAAAATAGTTTAAAATATACATTTTTCTGTGAAGAACAGAAGGATTTGGATGTTCACTGCACACAACAATGTTCAGCAACGGTCTGATGTCTCAGTGTATAAGGAAGAACACACTTAAACAAGGAAGCAAGGTGGCAGCTTGTATGTCATAGATGGCATATACACACGAACATATGTCTTTATAAACACCCACTGGGTCCTCTGATGCATTCACAGATGCTTTAAAACATGTGATTGTATGTCTATATATCACCAGTATTTCAAGTGGTGTGTGCGAAGCTTCCTTTATATTTCAAGACATAAGTTGCAGATGTAGTAGGAATGCTCTTTTCAAGGATTAAACCACAACTAAATATTGGTGTGGCTTTGTAAATTCCTTGCCCCACCTTATCTTCTCTTACTTCATGCTTCTAGCAGCCAAAAGAGGTCACATAGGTCAATTTTGTGTCATGTTCCAACACTGGGGGGAATTTGTTCTGAGAGAGTATATTACTCATTTCCATATACAATACCAGATATTGTACTAGGTCATCTCTCTCTGAGGGATTCCTTAATGGAACTGAGAGCTTCCACTTGTCATTTCATCTGGCAGTCTGTTTCTTTGTGTGTTTTTAGATATGCTTGGGATTCGTGCAGTTTGGCTTCGTTGCCATCTACCTTTCAGAATCCTTCATTAGAGGTTTTATGACAGCAGCTGGCCTTCAAATCCTCATCTCTGTCCTCAAGTATATCTTTGGCCTGCAGATAGCATCCTACACAGGACCCCTTGCTATTGTCTATGTAAGTGAATGTTGGGTATTATTGTTTCCTAAACATGCGTGCAGCGTATTTTAGCAATGTTCAAGTCAATCCTGCAGGACATGAATAAATTATTTAGCTAGGTAAATGTAAATTGGGTCAGACCCTGGAATGGCTGGAAGTTATATACATGGGAGAATTGAAAATCAGAATAATAGTGAGTTATATTAAAAAAAACAGTTGAAGACTTTTTCTCCTCAAAACAAATGAACGAAGTGTATCTTCCATAACTACTTTACCTGTGTAACAGCCACCCTCAAACCTCAGAGAGTGGTTGCTACTTTACTTTAAACTCTGCTGCCACCAACTTATCCTTGAAAATCAAGCGAAGGACAAGTGTAACTTTGAAAAACAAAAACTGGTTTATTGATTACAGGAAATAAAAATAGTAAATCACTGGTAAAGAATCAATAAGTCAATCACTGTAAATAAATCACTGGCTCTCACAGACTATTTCACACTGACAGGCTCTCTTACTCACTATAACTAACAATCACTTTAAACCCTCAGCTCAAACACTCATTTCACGCTCTATCTCTCTGCACACACTCTTCACCCCCCTTTTTATACTAGCTCCTCCCCTTAAGTTCCACCCTCCATCACACCATTGGCTGATGACTCACTGCCCAGCTGTGACGGACATGTGATGTTATGTCTGCCCGTTACAACCTGATTTTTTGTAATTGTATATCTGTTAGGTTAATCAACTAGAAGGAATAAAAGGTAAAACTAAGAAAGCAGTGATATTTAAAGTGAGAAATATAAGATTCCCCAAGTCATCAAATTTGCCACAGAAAGCAGACCTTCATTTGTCATGCTACATGACAGGAGAACCTGCACCTCAAATGCTTTTCCCTCTAAAGCCTTAAAAGGATCAGGAGTGCTTTTAGGGTCATGCAATACTGGGGAATGTACATGAAGGTAACAAAGGGTTACAATTAATTCTACAAAATTTTAATTAGAAGGGATTAGGGAAAGCCTTCATGCCATTACAGAGCCTGCAGATGCCTCCTGTGGGCCTCTGGAACCCTTCCTCTGAGATCACAGCTGGATGCTGTCACTGGAAACAACAAGTCAGATTAAACGCATCCTGTCTGGTCAGGCCCTACTTACTAACCCTATAATTAATCCATAACTGGCTAGGGCTAGTGAAGGGATTGTGCTTTCTTATGATGTTTTGAGTGCTGACTACTGTTCTGAAATATAGGCTACCAAGGTAAATAATGGCCACTGATGTGCCATTTTTGTGTCTGGGAGAGCAAGCCCCACATTATTGGGAGAAATTTTAGCTAAAGCTTCAAGAAGTTACTTTTTGATGACTGTTTTCTAAACTTATCCCTCAGCCAACACTATGTTGGCTGTGGGATTCTAAGAGAAGAATCCCTTCAAAATAAGCTCAGGGGTTGAAAATGTGCCTTGCATGTGGAGGACTTCAGATTTAATCTCTGGCCTCAAAGATTTCCCCCCCCCTCCGGGCTGGTAAAATTCTTGCCCTGAAATCCTGGTGAACCCTAAGAATCACAATACCAAGCACATTACTGACAGAGGTGCTGCGTTACCAGACTACGCCAGGGGCGTAATGGTGAAGTGAACTGCCCAGAGATTAAACCAAACAGACACTGTTGTGGTGTTGAAAATATTATTTACATTAAAGTCCATATATACAGGGGTAAATACAGCTTCTCTTGGTCTTTATACAGTCCTGGTCATTCACAGTAGTTCTTCAGTTAGCAATGGTAAATTACAGTTTTCAGTAACCAAAGATTGTTACCAATGTAAATAGTCCAGCATCCACGAAGTCTTCTCCTCTCACCACGGAGATAGTCTTCTCCCAGGATCTTCTCCTTGCAATATGGCAAGTCTTCATCCAGCGATGCAGTAAATACAGTAACACGACCACCAGCAACACAACAACAACCACCCAAACTATCCAACAGCCCAACTACCCAAACTACCCAACAGTTTGTCTCTGTAAGCTTGGCTAGTTTTATCCTTGGTTTCTCCAATCAAATTGGTTGTCACACAGCTGCCTCAATTAACTCAGCTGTGCTCCTTTGTTACATGTTGCTTTACTAAATCTGATCCTGTAACAACTTATACACTGAATTGCAATGAACAATTCCGTAGGTTGACTTTGAGACAGTACATTATTGTATGTGTGTCATGTCTTCTAGTGCTGGTATATTGATGATCCCCTTTGCTCTCTGTTTTCCTGTGTAATGCTTCTCTTCTTTTCCTGTCCCTAGACTTTTATTGATATTTGTAAAAACCTGCCAAAGACCAACGTGGCCTCCTTTGTGTTTGCCTTGATCAGCAGTGTGCTCTTGATTATTGTGAAAGAGCTGAACATAAAATACATGAAGAAGATTCGAGTGCCCATTCCCATGGAGATCATTATAGTAAGTAGCAGATCCTCAGCTTTCTTTTCTCCTGCTTAACTCAAAGGAGCTAGAGAACTCCCATTAGGGTCACTGCCCTCCCTTTTCTATACAGAAAGTGGTAAGTTTATAAAGCAGCTGTTGATTACTGAGATAATGTAACAACTAGGGAGTATGGAAAACAATAACAACCATTGAAAGGAAACTCTGTAAGGTGTACTAAACAGAATCTCCAATAATTATATAAGTTAACTATAACTACAGTTATATTTAAAGATGAGCAAGAATCAGGAAAATGGTGATAGGTTTTGATTCATGGTTCATCAAGGTCAACAAATTACAAGTTACATTTTTTTTCTGATGAATCAATACATTGATTTGTCAATTCATTTTTTACTTTGAAACACTATAAAATGCCCCCCAGCACCTAGAGAAACCAAATTTACAGGGAGGCTTCCCCTGACTCGCTTCTACAAACCCTGCAAAGTTAGTAAAGTTTGGGTTTCAGACATCTGAGTTATACAACCACAAGTAGGACCTCCCGAGAAAGTTCTCCCAAGGCATCTAGAGGCACCAAAAAGACAGAGAAGCTTTCCTTGACTCTCCTCTGCAATTTCTCCAAGTTTGGTTAAGATTGGGTTTCAGACAGTTATACATCCACAAAGTGGTTTCCCCTCAAAAAGGGTCCTTTAGCAGCTCACTTGGGGAAGCTCAATTCACAAAATGTAGGGATTATAAAGGAGAGCCAATAGAAGCTTCTTTGTAATTTTGGTGTTTCTAGGAGCTGGGGGGGACTCTCCTGGAGGGGGCTCTTTGTGTATGTATAATCCAGACATCTGAAAACCATTCTTCACCAAATGTGCAGGGACTGTAGAGGAGAATCAGAGGCTTTCCTGCAATTTTAGTATCTCTAGGTGCGGGGGGAGGGCATTTTATAGCCCAATGAATCAAAAATGGCTAAAAATTCATTGAATTACTTTTGTTTTCCATCTATGAGGCTACTTTTTCCTAAAATCATTACATTAAAATTTGAGGGCTGTCTTTTACATGGAAGTAAGCAGAGATAACTGAGAAGAGAACAAAATGGCACATACCTTGCCTCTGTAAACAGGCTTGCGTCAGCCATGAGGCTTGGTTTTCTACAGTCAGGAGACTTAGCTTCCTCCAATCATGAGCCTTGTGGAACTGATGTCAGCTATCCTGAACAAACCAATTGGAACACACCTCCTTGGAGATGGAGTCTGTAGGTTCAGATTCAACAGAGATTCAAAATATCCGATGTTCTGAGCCCAGAGGCTGACTCCTCAAAGCTAAGTTTTCTAAATTTTGGGTTAGAAAATTGGGGGGGGGTGTCTTATAAATGGGGGTGTATTATAAATGGGAAAATACAGTATATTCGTTGGGGCATTGATTTGTATGGACACAAACTGACAAATTAGCAATTTAAAAAATAAATTTGGTGATTTGTTTTTTTAATTTGTGCCCATCTCTAGTTAATTTATTTGTATATATTACATTATGGTGGATTTACATACAATTGCTTGTGCAGTTATAAATAATTACAATATTTATGTTAGATACATTAATTATATTGAGTTTTATATTATTGGAAATTCTGTTTAGTACACCATATGGAGTTTCCTTTCAACGGTTGTTGATTATTAAGATAACGCAGAGTGATGCAAAATATAATCAAGCATGAAACATATCAGAGTTCATGTATGGATCTCATATTAACACTCATGCTTTCTGCTTTAGGGAAGTTGATGTGCTCTTGATTGATTGCAGCAGAAAATATTTGGGGCCTTTCCAAATATTTGAATTTTTTCTTTCATTTGCACAATAAATGTGCAATTGTTATTTTGTTACTGCAAATGCAACCAAAAATCTTATGATATCTTGGAAGCTTATAATGGTAGTTTTCAAAATTGTAGCCATGTTAGTCTGTGTAAGCATTTCAACAAGAAACACAAAATAAAACAAAAACTATTTTACAAAAAGACATTGTGGCACTTTAAACACTAATTGCTATATTTTAATGTATGCTTTCATGGAACATTGTCCACTTCTTCAGACATACACGGACTTCATGCAAAGCTCTAAGAGACAATGGTGTTTGATTGCATTTCATACCTTGTAATGATTTATGAGCCCTTTATTCAGTTCTTTTGGAGTCTGGTTCTGTAAACATTCTAACAAGAAACACAAAACAAAACAATATGCCAGAGACAAATTGACCCATGTGGACATTAGAAGTACTGGGATGTTATTCACCTGACAAACATGCTGTCATTGCTAACTCCATTGCTGACCTATATATCCACTACATGTACTCAACCAACAATGCAAAGCTACATGCTCAGTCAATTTGTCAGATATGGCAGCGACCCTGGTTTACTCAGGATCACAGATTTAAAAAATGCATCAACTCATATTTCAGCAAGTCTGAGTGAAAATATCCCTGGCCTAAACAACAGGAAATGTCCAGATAATATGACTGTACTCCAAAGTACTGAAATGTGATAAGAGATGAAGCTCAAGTAAGATGCTTATATACCGCAGGTGACTGGGGAGGCAAGAGGGCAATGTACGTGCTGACAACCAGGTTCCAGGAACACTGGAGTAATTAGAGCTGTGGGAAATGCAGAGAGGTGGATAGATGTCTTTGGTTCCAATTGCAATTGTTCCAAAGCATGCTCTGTAAGAACACAATAGTGCCTTCCCCCTTGTGTTTTTCAGAAATTGGTATTAAAATGTTGGAAGTAATTTAAAGCCATCTTGACCTGCAACCACTGATGGCCTAATGGCCCATGGAATGAGTGCAACTGTTCTAATACAAGAACATTTTACATCCAGTTTATGCCACTGCGTGTAAATAGAAGTTGTAGAAGTGAATCCAGGCTAAGAGGAAAAGGAGAAAGGACTGTAGATTCAGAAAATAGACATGTACCAAAGAAGTCTTGAGAACCTCGTAGCGCAGTGGTTAAAACAGCTGTACTGAGCTAAAACTCTGCTCATGACCCATGGTTCAATCCCAGGTAGCCGGCTCAAGGTTGACTCAGCCTTCTATCCTTCCGAGGTGGGTAAAATGAGTACCCAGCTCGCAGGGGGGCCATTGTATAGCCTGCATAATTAACTTGTAAACCGCCCAGAGAGTGCTTGAAGCACTATGGGGCGGTATATAAGCAGCACGTTTTGCTTTGCTAAAATGGGGATTTCATATTGCACACACAAAAAACACAGTTATACATAAAACAATTTCTGTATCCATACGTGAAACTTCTAACAGCTCTGTTAGAATCACAGAATTGTTACCACAGTAATTTCCAGGCTACATTTGTGAACTGAAGACTCAAGAATGAATGCAGTCTGGGTACTTGTTTTTTATGAAGTGCTCTTTTAAGGAAACGGCACTTTGTGGACCAAAAGAATTACCTCCTACCACACGAGCCTGCCCAAACACTATAGTCATTGTCACCTCAGGACTGCATCTGTGCCCCAGCACCAGCTTGAATCTGACAGGCAATCTTCTTAGTCAGCATAGTACCCCACTCAGGGAAAAGCCCTCCAAAGGGATAGGGGAAGGTATGCCAAGCAAATGTAGATTTATTTGTACAGTGCGAGCTGACACCCTGAGATTTTTGCTGAACAACATCAGAGAAATGTTCTAAAGAAATCAATAAAATAACTAAATACAAATACAGCAATCAAAACATTGAAGTCATAGCTAGCACTACAATCACTTGTTCCTCAGTGCTTTAGTATCATCTTTAACCAGCCCAGATCAGGACATAAGTTATTAAAAAAAAACTTTAGTGGAAAGCAGAAAGAAAAGAGTCCTTTCTTCACTAGTCAGGATTTCTAGCCTTCAGAGATGTTTGGGCAGGGTGGCTGAGGGGTTGTCAGGAGACAGTGATTGATTGTTGTTGTTACTGGTTCAATTTATATACCATCCCATAGTGCTTAGAGCACTCTTTGGTGGTTTACAACATAATAAACCGAACAACAACTTGCTCCCCAGTGACCTAGGTATACCACCCCATAGTGCTTAGAGCACTCTTTGGCGGTTTACAGCATAATAATCCAAACAACAACTTGCCCCCCCCCAGTGACCTAGCTACTGTACTCATTTTACCACCCTCAAAAAGACAGAAAGCTGAGTCAACCTTGAGCTGGCTAGCTGAACCTGTCAGGATCAAACTGAGGTTATGAGCAGAGGCTTGAATGCAGTACTGCAGTTTATCCACTGAACCACAGTGCTCTTTTGATAGGGTATTGAATCTTTCCCTCTCTCAGTCCCTGGATCTGAAATTATCTTAACTGGGCTGCAGTCCCTTTAAAGTCTGCATTCCTGATTTTTTCATGCAGTTCTATAATAACTTTCTCTCCTGCAGGTATTAGGTCTGCAATATGCTGGTTATTTCCATTGGGTATCCATGATAGCCTGTTGCAGCAGGAAAAAACCACAAATTCCTGTAGTATCTTAAAGATAAATAAACTCATTATAGTACGAACTTTGTGGATTATATGAAGCTTAATCACTAGGTGGCACTGGACTTTATTCGGATAGAATGAAGACTGTTTCCCCTGGTTATTCTGTTCTGATTTGAAAAAGATAATATGTTTTTAATATAGTTTCTGGCCATGTGTGGCTTCTAAGCCTTTCATGATAGAGTGGTCCATATGTTAGATGTTTCAGGGAAGGCAGGGAAAATACAGTCCAGTCAGTACAGTACCAGACAGTCTGAAGACTGTCTCCCAATCCACTCTCTAAACGCTGGGAGGAGTGAGGAAGCAGACAGGCACCCTTTTCACTGGCCAACAGTTAACTGAAAGTTCACATTTTGCACTTTCCCTGCCTCCCACGCAGTTTTTTTCAGTTCTTAACTCAAATCTAAGTATGTAAGTCGAGTCAATATTTTCCTATGAGAGTGGTTCTTAAGTCAAAATGTTCTTAACTCAAGCCGTTCTTAAGTCAAGACCCCACTGTAACACGTTCATCCCATCACTTAAGGGAGAATTGCTCACATAAGAATTTCCCTGTATCCTGTATCCCTTTACAGAGCTTAAAAAGGGATAGAAATCAGTTCAAATAAAATGAAGCACTGTACATTTGAAAGTGAAAAAATAGTTGCCTTAACAATGCAATGTTATGTTTTTGGGGGGAGGCGTTTCAGCTTTTATTTTCTGCTTTCATATTTAAATTGGGGGAAACTGTACAGGTTGGTGGGTACAGAAATATTCTGAGTACTTCCAGTGTAAGCTTTTATTCCATCATCATTCTTCATTTGTAGGATTTTATGCATGATTTGAGGACAGGGGACATGATTTGTGTTGGGCTGACAATGGCTGAAATCCTTTTGTGATTTGATATTAGCATAGAAATGCTAAATTTCTAAGACCAGATGTTTTCTCCCCACCACCTTGCCATTCTTAATGCTCGCTTCTCAGTCTCCAAGCATAGTCCCCTGGCAGAGACAGACACAAGGCTATCCAAACAGATACATGCACCCAAACTACATGTTCCTTTCCTTTCTGCTCCTTCCTAACCTAGCCACCAAATACCCCAAGAATCAGCTTTGTGAGAACAGGTACCACTCTTGCTCTCTCACTCTGCTTACTTGGCTCCCTCCTTCAAACAAATAACAATCATGCACAGTCTATATTGTCTCGGCAGATTCTAGACAAACAGGATTCTGGTCAAGATCTTCCCCCATTTGTAACTCATACATGAGCAGTTTACAATTGTTTGCTTTTCTCTTTTTCCTTACTGCAAAAGTCCATTAAGGTGGGAAAATGGATTAACTGGACAATGGACTGAATCAATGAACTTACAGAAGAGTTGGGTCACCAAATACTTGCTGATTCAATGGCTTACTCAAGTTGTGACTACATATGATAAGCAACAGGATTTCACTCATTGATTCCGAGCAAAATGCAAAGAATTTCTTGGGTTGAGAGGTTGTCCAGTAAAGAAGTACTAAATTGAATGAATAAAGATCAGGAAGTCATAACATACATAAAATATAGAATTACTCTGGTCAAGTTTTTATTATGTGCTGTCAAGTCCCTTCTGGTTTACAGTAATTCTACAGATGAGTGATCACGAAACAGTCATATCATAAACAGCCATATTTCAGGCTCAAATAAATCTTTGTTTCCCCCCTCAGCTTTCTCCTCTATCCAGCCTTAACATCTTGCATAGCAGTCAAACATATCACAGTATGGATGACCTTGGTCTTAATCTAAAGTGGATATATACATGAAGAGCTTCTCTACTTCCTTCATAGTCACCCTTCTGAGTTTCAGTCTTCTGCTTACATCTTCTGATTGCCATTTGGTCATGTGATGAGAAAAAAATACAGATTGTTACAAAATAAACTGAGAAATATGTTCAGGAAGAAGCACTTTCCTCCCAAGAAGCAGCCGTCTTTTAATTTCATGGCTGCTGTCACCATCTGCAGTATTCATGGAGTCCAAGAAAGTAAAATCTGTCATTGCCTCCATATCTTCCCCTTCTATTTGCCAGGAGGTGATGGGACCAGTGGCCATGATCTTAGGGTTTGTTTGTTTGTTTATTTGATGTTGATGTTGAGCTTCAGACCATTTTCTGTGCTCTCCTCTTTCACCCTCATTACGAGGTTCTTTAATTCCTCCTCACTTTCTGCCATCAGAGTGGTATCATCTGCATATCTGAGGTTGTTAATATTTCTTCTGGCAGTCTTAATTCCGGTTTAGGGTTCCTCCAGTCCAGCCTTTCGCATGATGTATTCATGAATAAGCAAGGAGGCAATATACAGCCTTGCCATACTCCTTTCCCAATTTTGAACCAATCAGTTGTTCCGTGTCCAGTTCTAACTGTTGCTTCCTGTCCCACATGTATATTTCTCAGGAGATAGATTAGGTGGTCAGGCACTCCCATTTCTCTAAGAACTTGCCATAGTCCACACAGTCAAAGGCTTTTGCGTAGTCAACGAAGCAGAAGTAGATATTTTTCTGGAACTCTCTGCATTTCTCCATAAACCAGCGCATGTTAGCAATTTGGTCTCGAGTTCCTCTGCCCCTTTGAAATCCAGCTTGTACTTCAGGGAGTTCTCGGTCCACATACTGCTGAAGCCTACCTTGTAGGATTTTGAGCATAACCTTGCTCAAAATCCTACAAAGATTGCTTGCTTTGAGAAGGTTTGATAAGGCCTATATGCTCCTCAGATCTATACTTTAATCTGTCAGGTAGCCAAAATGACCTTGAGTGTTATTCTTTCAGAAAAAAAGAGGCATGTAAATCTGGGGCGGGGGGGGAGTTTGGAACTGCAGAGCTGGAAGGGGTCCTATGGGTCATAATGCATAACCTTGCTCAAAATCCTACAAAGATTGCTTGCTTTGAGAAGGTTTGATAAGGCCTATATGCTCCTCAGATCTATACAGTACTTTAATCTGTCAGGTAGCCAAAGTGACCTTGAGTGTCATTCTTTCAGAAAAAAAGAGGCATATAAATCTGGGGCGGGGGGGGAGTTTGGAACTGCAGAGCTGGAATGGGTCCTATGGGTCATAACGTCCTGTCAAGGAAGCACGGTGGGAAATTGAACTGCCAACTTCTGGCTCCACAGCCAGATGCTGAAACCACCGTGCTAAAATAAAATCTACCCAGATAGCCTACCCAGAGCACAGTTTGCTGTCCTCTGAAGATGCCGGCCACAGAGACTGGCAAAACGTTAGGAAGAACCACTTTCAGAACACGCCCAAGAAGCCCGAAAAACCCAGAACAACCATAAAATGAAATCATTTCTCCCTTGTGAGTGTGAGTGTGTTTGTTTGCATATCTAAATTTGCATATCTAAATTTGCTGGCTCCACAGCCAGATGCTGAAACCACCGAGCTAAAATAAAATCATTTCTCCCTTGTGTGTGTGAGTGTGTTTGTTTGCATATCTAAATTTGCATGCATCTACCTGCATATTTGTTCACCTTTCACCCAAATAATGCATAATGCATAAAGACACATGTATATACTGATGCAGAAAATGAAAAAATAAGAGCACTGCTTGACTATACCTTTACTTTGATTTCAGGTCATAATAGCTACTGCAGTTTCTGGATGTTATAATATGCCTGAGAAATATGACATGCCAATTGTTGGAGCTATTACTATGGGGTGAGTAAATTCACTGACTATTCTCCCCTTCCCCTCCCCATGCAATATAGGAATATTTTAATAATGTCCACAGCTCCAAAAATGCATTTTTAAATATATAGTTCCCAGAATCCTCTAGATAGCAGGGCCACTAGATATGCTGGATGGACAGTTCTGGAAGTTATTGTTCAAGTTCTGACAAATTCAGCATATTAATTCTACTGTACATAGTGATGGACGTCTTCCTTTCTGTAGTCTGGACTTAACTAGATGTAATGCTCAAACTCCATGGACAAGAAGTAAACATGTTAGAACTGGGCCTGCATAGCACATGCCATTCCCTTTGCTCCACATTTAATATATTAACACCCATTAAGGTGAACTGTAGGAGGAAGCAACAAAACTGGAGGCTCTTAAAACATTGTAACTTCACTGCAAACCCTCTTCTCAGGTCCCAGTATTTGCAGCCAAACTTACTGAGAGATGGAGAGAAGGATTGTAATAGAAGTAAGAACAACTTTAGACATTTCTGAAAACAAATCGTAATACTTCTGAGCACTTCCAGTTGTTGGCTATGTTGCAACATCTCAAAGTAGAAAGTAGGGCAGACTAAAAGTGGACAGTGTCTGCAAGCCTTGATTGATGTGAGTCAGGCGATTAATGAATTACAAAGTACACTGTAATTACGAAGTGCAGAATCATCTCTGCTGTATAAGACACGTGAGAGCCTACTCTCAGCAACATAACTATTGTTCATACAAGCCTGCATTCTTTGCTAAAGGAACTACTGTGTATCCCATAAACAGAAACATAAAAATTCAGATATTTGTTCACCTTTCACCCAAATAATGCATAAAGGCAAATAATGCCTTTGTGACTTAGGGGCCATAGAAAAATTGCTCATTAGACCTAGTTCACATGCAGTATTGGTAACATGAAGATGTTTAGCTTTCATGGACAGACTGGTTATGTGGGTCTTTCCCATACTGGCATCCCAGTCTCCATCAGGGACATAGACACTGATATCCAGTCACTTGATCTGGGCTTCTCATAGGATCAAAATTTCCACAGATGACCAGCACAAGGGCATGACTCAATAGTAGCAACCATACTGTAAAAGTAACACAATGGAACCTGCATGAAGCAGAATACTTGTCTGGAAGGCAATTTTTTTGTAGCGTAGCAGACTGTGCAAGTCTACTGGCCCAGAGCTGGGAAAAGTCAATTTTACTAGACTACAACTCCCAGTGGGGTTTCTGGGATCTGTTGTCCAAAATACTAACATCTCTGAGCTCTCTACAAGATGCAGTTCACAAGCATATTTTCTGCAATATTGCAAAGCCATTGAACAAGGATTGTGTGGTGTCATTTATAAACAAGAGCAAAACTACCGTCAGGTTGAATCCATTTGTTTGCTTGAACTGATACCATATTTTCGAAAACATTCAAAGCTGCTAACAGTCATGTAACAATAGAAACATGCAAAATGACAATGAAAGTATGAAAACAGAAGAATCGTTGAAATAATATCAAATGAAAAACAGATGCCAATGTCATCAGTTCTGGATCAAATTCCTCAGTGATCCTACAGAGAAATTTGTTGACATTCAGGCTTTCTATGGCATGTATGTTTTTTAGCAACTGTGAAGACATTCATGAGGGGGTTTGACATTTAAATATGACTCTGGAGGCATTCAAAAAAACAATTGGACAACAATCTATCAGATCTGCTTCGATTTGGATTCCTGCATTGTGCAGGGGGTGGACTCAATAGCCTTACGAGCTCTTTCCAACTCAGTTCTATGATTCTATGATTCAGCTCAAACTATGATTCTATGACGGTCCTTCAGATCCCTCCAATTTGTTTTGCTAATCATTTTTATATGAATTGCAATCAGCATGTATACATTTGTCCATTGATGACTATATCTTCATGATGGCTGAATTAGACCTTGTGTCATGAAAAAGTATCCCCTGTTGAGTTTCTTATTTTTATCTGCAACTTTTGTTTCATAACTACTAAGGTTTTTTTTCCCCTTCTTCGGTTCTAGTTTTCCATCTGCCACTCTACCTGAGGTGGGAAAATGGAAACACATGATTGGTACAGCTTTTTCACTTGCCATTGTGGGCTATGTGATCAACCTGGCAATGGGCAGAACTCTTGCAACAAAGCATGGCTATGATGTGGATCCAAACCAGGTAATATGCCCAGGGCTCTTGGTGGAGAAAGGTGCAGAGAAGTGATTTTTACCCTACACTCACCCAAAGGTTCTGTAGTGTCATTTGCAAGTTAAAGTTAACTTAGAGAGGTGATGCTGTATTTATGGAAGGAGCAAAATGAAATATACAGGATTTACTCTGAATTCCCTCCAATATTAGCTCTCCCACAGAACTCCCACTGTAAGGTCTTTGTTCTAAGTAAAAACACTGAGATTCCTTCCTCATATTTGAAGCCTAGGGCTCCTAGGAGCTGTCTAACATTGCTACCCACAACTGTGTAGATGAACACAGTGGAGAGAGAATATTACTTTCATGATTTTTTTTAAAAGGGGGGCACTTTCTGGAAGCTAGGACAGAACTATTGGCAAGCTATGAAGTCCTGGCAAGCAGCAGCTTAGCAGGTAGACCAAGCAATTTTCTTCTAATGGAGAAAGGCAGTTGCAAGGGGAGGAAAGCAGCTCATGTTGGTGTGAAAGAGTTACAGAGAGCGAATAGAATCTGTTTTATCCATCTGTATCTTGCTTGTGGGGAGCAATTCCTGGATGAAGCAGTATGAGAGCTAATCTATACATTTTTTTAAAAAAACCCACACCTTTCTTTTTCACACATAAGTGACTACATAAAGCTCCATTCCAAATTCCAGCAGCATCGGGAGGCAGATATTCCTCACGTTTGAGGGAAACTCTTGTGATACCAGTCCCTTAGTTGTTTCACAACTGCAGATTAAAACATGACTCAGAGAAAAATCTGGAGCAGAAACATAGGAACTCTTAAGTAGGTATTATTTAGCAATTAGTTTAAGGGATTAATTTTGTAAATACTTTCAGACACATTAACCAGATTCTTCCAAGAAACAGCTCAGAATCGTGCCACTTGAGAATGCCATGTATATGCATCATGCAGCTTAGGCTTTGCACAATGGCAGCTTTTTAAGATAATAACCAAGTGTTGCAAATTAACCTTTGCAGAACGTTTCTATACTCCTTGTTGCTGAATGAATGATTTGCTAGTAAAGAGAGCCTGAGATTAAATTTGTTGTGGTTCAAAGAAACCACGTTTGAATCTGCCATGCCTCAAGAACCTGCAAATCACACAACCTAGACGTCTGACTCAGAAAATCCTGGGATATCTCTGGAATGAGCAGCAACGATAGTTTGGTGGGAAATGGGACAGCAGCTGTATGGCGCTCCTGCTGGTGGCAATCTTTGCATGAATAATGCTACCCCGACATCTGTAGCCTCAAAGTCTGATGTGACTGTTTGACCTATTTCTTGCATTTCTGCAGTTCCTATCAAAGGAACCTTGCTGCAAGGGCAAGGCCACGAGGTTTGTTTAACCACTTAAACTGATTAGCCTTTTCTCCTTGCTTCCCTAGGAAATGTTGGCCCTGGGTTGCAGCAATTTCTTTGGATCTTTTTTCAAAATCCATGTGATCTGCTGTGCTCTTTCTGTAACCTTAGCTGTGGATGGAGCCGGAGGAAAATCTCAGGTTGTTTATTTGGTTGATTACTCCTCTCAGTGTGGGATACTCTGGGCAATGTGGAAGACTGGCAATTTTGGATGTCGGGTGGATTGGGCTACGAAGGGTATACAGTATTGAGGTTGTGGAGAGAGGAATGATGTCCTATCTGTCTGAAGAGTAAATTCAGTAGCCCAGTCAGCTGTCAATTAATTGATTCCTCTGACCTGTGGAGGATCAGGGGAAGTGAAATTATTTTTTTACACTTCTCTCTCCCTCTGTCAGTGCTGCTCTGTTTTCTCCTTTGCTCCTGCCCCACTTCCCTTGCCCCATTCTCGCCCCCTACCCCATTTTCTCTCTCAGAATCTACAGCCACAATGGCTGCTATCTCCTGACTAAATAGGCTAAGCATTGAGCATGCCAAAAAGAATGTATGTCCTACTGCTTGGCCAGAAAGGTGCACAACAACTTTTAAAAGGGAAGGATAGATATTTCAAAGTAGAAACACTTGAGGACAAGGTGTTTTTTTTCCTTCACTCCAAACCATACCATCAGTGATCCATATACCATCTGAATACCAGTGTGGACAGAATGTTGGGCATTTTTTTGCTTTGCAGGAACTCAAGGTGGTTTAATAGTCATTCTAGTTATACAGCAAACCCTGGAAATGTAAAGTGAGGGAGGATTTGGATGCTAAAACATTGCATTCTTAGCATCATCACCAAATCCACATTTCCAAGATTCTTTGGAGAATAATCTGATTTTGGTCAACGCATTGCCATTGGGTCACACAAGCCATCCCCTGTTTTTGTGGTTGTTGCTATCACCACCTCAGCCAAATCTGAGGCCACACGATGACATTTTGGCTGTGGGGAAGCTCTAAAGAAATTTTTGAAAAAACAAAATTCAGGGGACACATCCTTTTGTTTAAAGGAGAATTGCTCTTACAGAAGCTGCCTGGGTCCATGATTTTGCTTTAGAACAAGGCATATACTCCATGCAAAGTTATTTTAAAAGGAATATCCTATTCTTTGCTGTCAACATGCTGCTGAAATTTGGTGGCACAGCAGCAAATACAATCAGGAGACAGCAGAGTGTTGACTCCTGGCCAATGTGTGAGAGGGGGAATGCAGCCCTAAAGTTGTTCAACCCTGATTTATCGTGTAGCCATAAGATAATTTCTTTCTTGATCCTACCATTGACAGATATCATGACATGTTAAGTCTTTTTGCGGTAATGGTGCTTTTCTCCCTCCAGATATCAAGTTTTTGTGTGGCAGTGGTAGTGATGATTACCATGTTGGCTTTGGGGACCTACCTTAGCCCCCTTCCTAAGGTAAAATTGCAGTCTGAAAAGTCTGCTTTTGTACAAGTTTCCAAGATAAATATATCCTAATTATTTTCTCCTATATGTGCTTTTTTGTGGAATATATTTAAGTTGGTTTTCCTTCATTCTCTTCCCTAGAGAATCATGACAATTTGTGAGGAATTTTGTGAATGTGTAAAATAGAATTCACTGCACCTGTAGTAAGTTAGAAATACCAGGAATATCTGGGAGAAACAAAGGCTTGTCTGATTGAAGTAAAAGTTTTGTGCCCTCCCCTTAGTTCTGCTTTCTCCTGGTGCTTACCGGGACTTATATCTACACAGAACTTTAAAGAGGCACTTCTCTGGAACTGCTTTTCTTCAGAAGACCTCTGAAATCCTGGCAAGAAATCCTTTCTCCTACTGGAGCTTTGCTGTTTCATTTAAGAAAATGCTAAAATGGCGTGCTAATTAAAATATCTGGAGGCTTGGATGGAAAAAAAATCAACTCTCCAGAGGAAGTGTTGCAGTGCTAAACTCCACACCTCAGAATAAATTCTGGGGAAAAAATAAACCACCTTCTTCTGGAAGAACAAAAACCATGGAAAGCCCGGGAAGAGCCACAGATCATATCAGACCTAGTGTTGTGCCATTTGGATGGTGGGAAAAATTACAAAACCATCAGTAACTAATGGAATTATTTAGCAAAAGCACATGTCCTATCTGGATAAGTCCAAAAACCATTGGATTGGTACAGACCCCATATAAATGGATGCTGGTTTTGTGCAGGGTGTTTTCAGTTCTTTGGCTGGAATCCTATTGGTGTTTGCATATGGTTTAAATCAGCAAATTAATTTGTGGTTTTCTTGGCAAGGTGCCAAGGTGCATCTTGGTTGTGAGATTAGTCTTTCTGTAATGTGTGTGTATGGGTGAAACTACCAAACTACTCTCTCTTAGCCAAGTTACGCAATATGTTCATGTACAATATTTGGGTAGCTAAAGTTCATACTGTCCTTCTGGATTTTTGTCATTGTTTTTAATGTTATGTGATTGATGTTGTAGGCTGTATTGGGAGCCTTGATAGCTGTGAACCTAAAGAATTCTCTCAAACAACTGACTGATCCATACTATCTCTGGAAAAAAAGCAAGCTGGACTGTGTGAGTGTCTCATGTCAAATGTCTTGGGGGAAGAATAGAGGGACCTGGACAAAATATTACATTTGGATTAAGTATTAGAAGAGTAGCTGTGTTAGTCTGTGATAGTTTGGATTAAGTCACTCCCCTGTAAAACAACAGCATGAAATCTAAAAGAATACAGAGACTTTGCACTTAGGTGTATTTGTCTTCTGTACTTCCACCGTCATGAAACTCTTCTTAGATTCTATCATAGAATGTGGGTCTCTGAGAGTGTCTGGAGTTGTTTTAAAGGCAAGTAGCATGTGGTCCCTATATTTATGGAGATATATTTAAACCATATCTCTCACTGAAAATAATAAGAAATATTCCACAAAAAAGCAGGAGTTTCAGAATGAAGCAGAACTTTAAGAGAGGAGTCACTAGTGTGTCAGCTACATTGCATATTTAGCCCAGGAAGAAAATTTGGACTTCCATGGCATATAATTGAAGTTTCCTTTCAGAGTTTTATAACTAGACTGTGACTAAATGTTTACGATTTGAAAGCAGCTAAAATAATAATGAGCTGAGCACCCTCTTGGTTGGTGTGTGTAATCTACAAAGCTGAACTGTTATTAAAAAGGCTGCATTTAGGCATCATAGTAAACAGTTTTTTAAAAAGATCAGGTTGCACAGGAAAAAACCCTGTATGAGACCCTTACCAGTCAGAGTACACAGCACTAGGCTAGAAGGACAAATTATCTGATGCAATGCACCGCTTTATTCCAATATCTAGAAGTCATGCTTTATATATAGTCCCAGAGAAGAAAACGCTTTTTACAAGAAGATAATTGCTCCAGGCACTGGTTGATATAAACACATTAACATGAGCATCAAGGGAAAAATCAAATGTATAAATGTTTGATTCTTACATAAACAAGATTTATGGCAGGCGGTTATATTTATATAAATCGTGCCAATGTCCTGTGAGTTTCTTCAGACATTGCTTTATCAGTGAAAAGAATTATTTAAATTATCTAGCCACAATATTCAAAGAGAAAGTAAGAGAAATTATGCTACAGAATTCTGGACAATGGTGTTATGAAAGTGGCGTATGTTTTAGTGGATGTGAATATCCTAAAATATGCTGAGCACAACAGAGACAACACTGGCAGATTTGAGCACCTTTACAAGTAGTTAACTTTAAAGCTGCTGAAGGATCATCTCGACTTTGAGAGCACTTACTTCATGTACTTATTCCTACACTCTACATTCAGCAGTACTCAAAGCCACACAACAATGGCTGCTTTAAGTAAACTGCAAACACACAGGAGGAATATGAATTACACCAATGAATAAATGAGTGACGGATCAAGTATGGATATTCAGAAGAAATATGAAATTTTTGTTTGTTGATTTGTTAGTCAAAACAACGAACCAGCTAATCAGCCTTAGGAGCTGCCCTCGACCTCTTGCTCCAGTCTGTTAGAAGGAAAGATTTCATTTCCAGCAGTAAGGATTTCATTTCTCTCTGCCGTATCATCTGTTGCTTACAGATAACAGCCTAGTTCCTAAGACTTGAGCTCAGGTGGCCTATGCTAGCACAATGGGGAAGGGGGTCTAGCTAAAATACTGAATGGGGAACCATCATCTGGTGCCTTGATGACGTCAGGGCAAGGGGCGCATGTACCATGCCCCAATGTCACCTCATCCACAAAGGGCTGCAGGAGAATCTCGGCTCTGTACCATTTGTTACTTTGATTTAGAATTTTGAAAAACAGGGGTAATATCTCAGTAGATGTTTCAAAGCCTACCAACTTTATTTTCAATGTATTTTTATTCACCTTCTTATAAAGGTCAAGCCATATGCCTGGTCGCCATTTTAGATACCGTGTTTCCCCGAAAATAAGACAGGGTCTTATATTAATTTTTGCTCCAAATGCATTAGGGCTTATTTTCAGGGGATGTTTTATTTTACAGTCATGTCATTTTCTGATTGCTGCACAATGGTAGAAGATGGGGCTTCACTTAACTGGAACTTATTTATATTATGAGCATCCTGAAAAATCATACTAGGGCTTATTTTCAGGTTAGGTCTTATTTTGGGGAAAACAGGGTATAATTCAGTAACACACTACATTGCTTGTTCTGTTGTTTGTTACTTATTACTTTTTAGATTCTTTTACTGTGTTAGAATCCAGAATGACTTGCGCATCAGGGGGTGGCTACCTCATCCACAAATTGTAGGTGGCCACGGTCATCTACAACTAGGAGTAATGCTGTTATTTGTAACATGTTATTTCCAACCTCTGGGATGAATCACATCACCTTTGCAAATACAGTGGTGCCTCGCGATGCCTATACCAACTGCACAAGTTTTGTTTTACTGGTGTGGATGTTACAAGGCAATGTGTGCTGGCAGAAGCCAGTTTATAGCTACTAAAATGGCACTAATATGAATAATCTCAGAAGGAAGTGTTATTAGAATGCACCAATACAATTGAATGCCATCTTATAATCTAAGACATACAACAAAAAAGGAAAAGGGAGGAGGAATAGGAGAGAATAGGAAAAGAAATAAAGAAAACTCAGGGTTTTAATTAATATGGTTCTTGTAACGACAATCTGTGATGATTGCAGTTCTATAACACATGCCAGCTGGCCTACTTAATAACTTGATCCTGGAAAAAATGTAATGCAAACAGGGGCCATTTATTCCTTCAAAGTAGTTATATGGTGGTAGGGGATATGGAGCATGGTCTTGAACCTTTTCATGCTCAGATCCTTGGTACTTCTAGAGTGTTTGCAGAAATTGCGTTCACATTTTTCTTAGCCAGCATGGAGGGCTAGAATCCTGATCCTTTCAAAAAACAAAATAGTTAACAGTGTGGATTTGAAATCACGATTGAAATTTTAAAAATCAGATTTTGAAATCAAAATATCATTTTTTAAAATTTTAATTGTGATTTAAATTGCAATTGATTTTTATGCACCCTGGTTATCACAGGATTTCTTGGTGTCACCACATTCTGCATTACTAAGCAGATACTGCTAATGTTGGTTTGAATTCTTTAAATCAAAGAATGTGTTTAAAATGTGTTTTCCATCTCCATTCCCTCATACAAAGTCATCATTGGCCAGTGCAAGGAAATGACCCACTGTGTTTATGTGTTTCCACAGCTGGTGTGGGTGGTGAGCTTCCTAGCATCTTTCTTCCTGAGCTTGCCCTTTGGACTTGCCGTGGGAGTGGGCTTTTCCATCCTGGTGGTGGTTTTCCATACCCAGTTGTAAGTATTCTCCTGATTATGGTCTGTAATAGGAATGTACAAGTAAAGACATTTTTCATCATCTTGGTCAAAATGTCAGAGGCATGTGTGACAGGCAGCACATGGAGCATAAAAAGACCCATCCCTGTTGGCAAACAATGATGTCAGTTTCAGATAGTTGCTCTCTAATCTCCCTGGTATAAATATGAAAACATTTACGTCATGCTTGGAAACACCTGCAGCATGTATCCTCCTCTCTCAAATAAATACAATGGAAAACCCACTTATTGCTCATGAAAATCTCAGTAGAAGAGATAAATGTGATGCTGCCCTACACTGATCTTTTGTCATGGCAACTTCACCAAAAAAAGATGTCATTGTTAGTGAGTTAGTATAAGGTGAAAGAAAAGCATATTTTTAGGGCAGTCTGTATTTGCTCTGTTGCTTCCCTAGACCTTGGTAGCCCATGTGAAAACAAATATAGGCAAAGCAGCAGAAAGCCACATCAGTATTGTGCTTCTGCTCACTCCTGCTCCATAGTCTCTTATCCTTAGATTCCTTCTTCATTCTGTCTTTGGATCTGACTCTTGTCTGACACTGTGAGTACACTGGCAAGCTGAATTGGAGCACTTTGGCTTTGCCGTACCTTGATTCACAGCCTAGTTACATCAGTATTGTGCTTCTGCTCACTCCTGTTCCTAGTCTCTTATCCTTAGATTGCTTCTTCATTCTGTCTTTGGATTTGACTCTTGTCTGATACTGTGAGTACACTGGCAAGCTGAACTGGAGCACTTTGGCTTTGCTGTAGCTTGATTCACAGCCTAGTTTTTGCTTCTATTCGAATTAGGTGATCACACGGAGGTCGTAGCTTGTTTTGGTTCTAGTATCAACACTGGCCTTTCAATCAGATGTGCTTTGATCTGTACCACAGCCCTCCTTCCTCTGATCCCACCTTCTGCCCATGTCTGGCTCTCCTTTTAAGGTTCTTTGTAGAGCCAGTGGGCTATTCAAAGTGCTGCACAGTGTTAGAGAAAGGAGGCATTTTCCCAAAATTCTTTACAACCTACAAACACATACACACATACTGAGGAAACATAGTGGTCTGCTGTTTTTTGTCTGAGTTGTTTCTATTTCATACAGTATTGATCTTTATCTCTTCTCTCTTTTTTGCTTACATAGCGAGGATCTAGTGCTAAACTCTGTTTTTTAAAAAAATACTTTGGGATGTCTAGGGAGAAAAATTGCAGGGGTGGTGCTACTACATCCAGAACATCATGCCTATCTTACTACATCATCAGAATACCACCCATAGTCACACACCCTGTTCTTTTGGAGAAGGAAAGAACTGGTCACAAGGGAAAACATCATTCAAATTGCTCTTGTTCTGAAATAGAAGCTTCAAGTGGCAGCAATAGTTTTTTTTAAAAACACACCCTGTTCTTTTGGAGAATGAAAGAACTGGTCACAAGGGAAAAACATCATTCAAATTGCTCTTGTTCTGAGATAGAAGCTTCAAGTGGCAGCAATACATTTTTTTAAACCCTCTACATCTGAAGCAAAAATGTTGGGCTAATTTGCATCATGTGATCAGTTTTTAAAAGTCTGAAATCATCTGTTCTAATTCCACAGCAAATCCCATAGTATTCACCTGTATAGTTACAGCCTGACTTGCATTTCAATCCCCATTCCTAATTTGGTCTGAAACATTTAACCAATCTGTTCAGTCTGATGCCCACTGTACTCAACCACGGCTCATAACAAGTTTGGAGGAACTGCTTTTTCAAACTGTGATTAGCTAGATCAAGTCCTGCCTGGTCTTTGTGTGACTGCAACCCTGGGTGCGACTACACTGCAAATTTATTTGCAGCTTGTACAGTATTACATTTGAACTCACAGTCAGTGCTCGGGCAAGGGCTGTGGATTGATCCAGGAGTTCATGCAGTAACAAAGGTTAAGAAGCACTGAGCTAGATCGAGTCCTGCCTGGTCTTTGTGTGCCTGCAACCCTGGGTGCGACTGTTGTACAGTATTACGTTTGAACTCACAGTCAGTGCTCAGGCAAGGGCTATGGATTGATCCAGGAGTTCATGTTGAATGTGACACAATTTGCATTCCAACCTACATCTCCCCTTCTTTCTTTCCTTCCTTTGGTGTCAGATCTGTCAATTTGATGGGGATTGATGAGGTGTAAATATGGGAGATAATAATGATGATGATCCAGTGATGAGGTGATAGCACTAATCTTACATGATCCAGTGATAAGATTTAGCACTAATCTTATATGTGTAAGAAAACTTTTTAAATAAAAAACACTCAGAGGATAATTGGGGAAAAGAAAAGAATGCAGCGGCATATTTCCTCTGGTCCTGAACATCACTCTCTCAACTGCCTATGTGACCAAAACACCACCCACAGACACACACCCATTATTACAAGAACATATCACAACTAACCAGATGAGGAAAAGCCCATTCAAATCATTCTGGCTTGAAAAAGCAGAAGCCCCCCAGCAGCAGAGTGTGGGGGGGGAAGCTGCTTTGAGAACAGAAAGGGCTGGATCTATTCAAATCAGCCTTTGCATCATGCGGTCAGTAGAAACTGCCTCAAATCCACCCATTTTATAAGTGGAGCAAATCCCACAGTATTTGAACATGTAGTCACAGCCCCAGTAGTGTAGTCACATTCACATAGCATCTCCATAATGAAAAATTTAATTTATCTGTACTTTTGTTTTTCAATGGCTAGACAAATGACAGATGGGAAGATTTTTGGAAGACAGAGTGACATGTGCCGCGCGGCATGCTCTGTACCCCTTGAGCTAGTCTGTTTCTCTCACATGAGTTGCAAGTCAGCTCACAACAAATAATGAAGAGATTTAAAAACACAATATAAATATCACATTTTAGAAACAATTAAACATACATTAAAATTAGTTGGCATGAAGATTTTTTTAAAAAAGCTGTTCTGCATCGATTTGTCTTCACATGGGGGCAAATTCATCTCAAAAGTCAAACTATCATAGTCACAAGAACCCTGTTGCAATATCTTTGACTATTGTGAAGTACGCTAATTAAGTGAAATCACAAGGATAGAATGATTAATTGGCCATTTCTATATATGTATTTATATAGCAGGTACACCCTCTCATGCTTCACACTCTCAACAATTCAGTACATTTTCATTTGAATACTAGGGTTAGATGTCAGAAAATATACTTTTCTATATTACTCCCATACTCACAGCTTGCATGTCCTTTGACACTGCTAGTTGGTAGATTCTGGGTTTGTAGTCCAAAAAGTATTATTTCCAAGTCTGGGGAACTTTTGAAAGAGAATAGTAAAGGTGTGAGGAACTCTCCAAGACTGGTGCAAATACAATTTTCAATTAGCCATTGTTTCTGTGGGCCTACTCTAGCTGTGACTTGCTACTGAAGCCAAGCCACTCTCTGATGACTCACTACTAGCTCCAGACAGCTAGACTCTGCTTCTGTCTGAGAATCTGAGAAAACAGATTTATCTTCATAATATGGCTCCTTTACACTATACACACTACAGACTGGTGCGATTTTACTCAGAGCTTGGGAAGGTTATGGCTAGGAGATTCTTGGAACTGTGGGTGTAAAAAGCAAAAATTTCCACCTTCCAAAATTACTAAATGTGTTGTAGCATGAACTGTCATGGAGAAAAGCCCACATCTTAAGATTCAATTATATTTTAACATTTATTTTCATTTTCTTTCCCAGTCGCAATGGTTCTGTCCTTGGCCCTGTGGCTGCTTCTGATATATACAAGAACCCCAAAGTCTACAATAAGGTAAATATAGCTGCAAAATTCCTCTCCCCCTCTTTTGCCAGCATTTGGCTAATGAACATGTTCGATTTTTGTTTAAAAAGGTAATCTCATGTGATCTGGCTCAAGGCATGATTGGCTGAACCATGATAGGGGCAGGAAAGGGCAACTGTCTGTATAACACAGCCTTGTGTTCTTCAGGGCATGCTCTCTACTCCTGAACTAATTTGGTGTCCTCAGGTGTGCTGTAGGATACTATTCTCTTGCAAGTGTTGAATTAGCACTTATCTGACTATCTGGTTACCTTCTGTATATTAAATTATGACCAGTGTGTAGATGCCATTTTGCCCTTTGCCTCAGATAACAAAAATGCCATGAAATAGCTGCGACTATTCCTTGTACGATTTTTACTTGTGATGGTCATGGCCAAAGTAGAATATTTATTTATTTATTTATTTATTGGATTTATATACCGCCCCATAGCGCTACAAGCACTCTCCGGGCGGTATATGCTGTCCACACTACCCAAAGGTCTCTGGGTGGCTTACAACAATTTGAATACAATAAAAAGATAAAAAGGTAAAACAATTAAAATACAATTAAAAATATAGTGCTCAATACATTGACATCAAGACCACAGCTGATATGATTTCACTTAAAGACCTTCTGGAACAGGAAGGTTTTGAACTGGCGCCAAAATGTCGTCAACTTCCTGTCAGATCTTCCAGTTAGCCAAGATGGGCAAGGGTCGAGCGGAGTGGTGGTAGAACGGACAGATCCAAGCACCTTGTCCACATCCCCAGGTTATTGTTCATTAGGTCAATAAATACATTGCAAGAATGACTTGTTTCTCCTGAATTTTTTAAATCCTTCCTTCTAGACTTTTGGATAGCCTAGGATTATTAAACATCAATAGGTCTCTATGCAGAACCACATTATTCTAAGGTTCCTATGCAGAACCACATTAATCTATGTGCTTATATCTCTGATCTGTTTGGCATGCTGTCTCTGGCTGGCTGTTTGCATAAATGTACAGTACTACTATTTCCTGTTGTTTCCATATAAACAGCATAGCGTACGAAGTCATAAAGACCTGTGCAGCAGTGAAAGAAGCCCATTGTCACAATGTCACCACCATTGCCATGTGTGTTCATTTCACCACAGATGGACACACGAAAAAAGTTCTGATATTTATTAGTTATCCCTTCACTGGACAGAATCTCTTTACCAGATTTTTCCTTTGTTTCCTTCCCGTGCCCAATATTATCTGCCATTTGAAATCCACATTTTATTCTGCTTCATCCTTGTCAATCTCTCTCCTTCTCTCATTGCAGGTCCAAGAAATAGAAGGGATTAAAATTGTCACCTACTGTTCTCCGCTATACTTTGCTAATTCAGAGATATTTAGAGAGAAAGTCATTGCCAAGGTAAGAAAAAAGGGGTCTGAGTAAACTTATACTATCACCAGGTGCTTTTCACACGATGGCTTCTATACCCTACTTATTTTGCAAAGGTGAAGCCTACAGGCAGGTGATGACATAAAAGGTGGGGCTCAGTGGGAAAGAAGGTCAAAAGAGAATGAAATGGCAGGAGAAGAGTTGAGCAGAATGTCTCTATCATTCCCATTCCCTTACACAAACTCAAAGATTACCTGTGCTTAAACCACATTTCTGCAGAGTTTGTACATGAGATTCCTCTCTATGATAAGGCAGATGATGAAGGGAAATGGGATGCCTTGCAATGGAACCAAGGATGGGCAGTGTTCTAAAGGAGGCTTAGGGTCCAACTAGACAGTACATATTTCTCCTGTACTTAGAACCAATCTTTCCTCATGCAGTGAAAGATGTTCATTTGTTGTTATAACATGTGGAGTCTCCTATCTGTATCTTGTATTTAGCCCTGCTCTGATTTGTGATTGGTCACTAGAAGGTAAACACTAGCCCACTTTGCAAATCCAATTGCTAAGGCATCTCTAACTCAACAATCCTATTGTTGAGGGGCGATTCTTTTTAACTGCAAGGAATATATATTTCCCTAGTTTGGTTCCTTTTGAGGACCAAATTTTATTTTCCCAGTCAGCTCTCAATTTTGCTTAAAATTGTGGATTTATCTTTTTATCTGCCATTTGAAATCCACAAAAAAGTTGTCTTGAAATTCATCTCCTTTCATGGGAGAAGTAGCCATTTGAAAAACCATCGGACATAGCTGTGTCAAAATGTTTTGTCTGGACCTTAAACCAGATCTAGTATCCTTATCTCCCCACTGTTTGCTAGTGAGCCTTTCCATATATAAAAAGGCATGGTACATGCCATCAAGTCAGAGCAACTTGTAGGGTTTTCAGACTGAAATATTTAAAGAGTAGTTTTACAAGTGCCTCTGTCCCTCACCCAGTGAGTTTCCAGTGCTGAGCTGGGATTCAAATCCTGGTTTCCTCAGTCCTGGTCCATCAGCCTATCCCTTATTCCAAACTGTGTATCCATAAGGTGGCGTACCCTTCGCTTTTCAATAGCACCCCTCACTGTAAAACTACAAATTCCTTGTTTGGATTCTAAATTGATGTTCATAAATCACAAGGACAAAGGCAGGAATACCACACAATATTCTGTCTTTTCTGTAAACAGACTGGAGTGGACCCCATAAAAGTCTACTTAGCTAGGAAAAAATATGTGAAGAATCAGGAAAAGGCTGCAGCAGCAGCAGTGAAAGCAGCCACCGCCGCACAAAAATCAAGCAAATTGAAATCTCTCTTCAGGAAGAACAAGGTAACTGAGCTTTTGTGGAACTGGGGAACATTATCTGTATGGACTGTTTATTGCTGGTTTGGTAGGGTTTTTTTGTGTTTTGTGTTTTTTGTTTTGTTGTTGTTGTTTTGAACTACAATTGCCTGAATTCTGAGACGTTTATTCAGGAACTGGAATGACAAAAACTAAAAAATGTGATCAGTTGCTAGACATGAAACAGGAATGACTTGCTCAGTAAAAAGATATCTGCTAATGGATTGACTGCACTACAAAACGACATCACCAGAGGGTGGTGTACAGTTTCTGTGTCTACAGTCCATCTCCAGCAAACTGTAAAATGGATCACAAGCTAGCCACAGTAGTAATATTGAAGGTTAAAGTGTTGGGACAGAATGGAATTGTTCCTATTGGTAGCGTTGGGTGGTTATTAAGCCAAGATTTTTCTCTTCTCTGTTGGAAATCCTAGGCAAGCTCTTGGATTCTCTTATGAAAGATAACAATAAAATGTATCATGGGCCAAAAAAAGGAAAGGAAAAAAAAGAAAGAAAAAAGTTTGAGCCAGGATAACTAGAGGAGGAAATTTCCAAGAGTGTAACTCCATTTGGTAGCAAAAACAACAATCCTTTGGCATCTTACACAAGGGTGCTTTCCAGTGGCTGCTTCCGGGCTTTGAAATGCACTGCACTGTGAAGCCAGGTTGCCCCCCCCCTTGTTCTTCTGGCATTAAGCAAAGACTTTCCATTTTTAGAAAGGCTTTTCAGCAATAAGCGGGGTCGTGGTCTCTGGAATACTGTGTTTATTAAATTAGGAGACTTTAAAATATTTTTAAACTTTTAAAAAATCTTGTTTTTAATATTGACAAATGCTAAATTGCTTTAATGTAGTTTTTTAAACAGTATTTTTAAAATTGTTATCATCATATAGTGTTAATTGCTGTGATCTGCTTTAGGTCCCCTATGTGGGAGAAAGGCAGCATATAAATACATATACACATATACATACACTGGCAAGTTTTGTTTGACATGAACTCTAGCTCATTTCTTCAAATGAAGTTTGGAAGATCTCCTTTCTTTGTTCTTTGCCCTACTTTTGTACGCATTTTTAAGATGTGTGACTGTCACTTCAAGAGAGGGAAAAGCAACTAAATGCACATAAAAGGTGTTTCCACCTGATTTTTCGTGATTCCCACTTCCTTTTCAGCCTTTTCATTCAAGAGCATCCCTTCAACAGTCAACCCAAAATTATGGGGCACGTTTAGGAGGCAGGAAGTCACTTTCAACTAATCCCCTTCCTGAGGCACTTTTATGAATCCAATCAATATTTTGTTGTAAATAATCTCTTCATTAAAAATCTTGCATTAAGCTCTTCTAATGTTTATATAATTTTGGGACAGCTTTGCTTTTTAAAATTTATAATTATCAGTTTTATAATATTTTTGGATGCCTTAACAATTTCAGATACCAGCAATGATAGAATTGTGATGTGTTTGTGCATGAGTGCATATCTATGTAAGAAATAAAAATAAACATAAATTTGTACTGTATGTCATGTCTCTTCCTTTGCCACAGACAATGTCTCTGCAAGAACTTCAGAAGGATTTTGAAAGCACTTCTCCAACAGATACCAATAACAACCAGACTGCAGCTAACGGCAACAGCGTCTCTTATATCGCTTTCAACCCTGCAGTGAATGTTTCAAGGCAGGTCAATGCTACCTGTGAACAGAGGTGCACTGCTAGTCATCGGAGCAGCACCTGCAGTGTTATCCCCACCTCAAGTGTCGATCCTATTATCACAGCACCTCCATTTGTCAATGTTCACACAATCATCTTGGATATGAGTGGAGTCTGTTTCGTGGATCTAATGGGCACAAAAGCTTTGGGCAAGGTATACCATTTTCATGGTTCTGCTTCCTGTTTATCTTGCATTACCTTCTGAAGTCACTGTCTTTAAAATGCCCATTCTCTTCACATTCCATTAAGTCTGCTCAGATTGAACTGTAGTTTAAAGGGAGGTGGTGGTGGTGGAAAGCAAAAGGTAATGTTGGACTGGTTTCAGGGAGCTGGCAACTAGACTGTAGCCTTAAGTGCTGGCAGTGAAGCATCCACAGAAAAATGCTGATTTTGTAGAATATAGATCAATAGTCAGAAAAGGCTTTATGACATGATTATGGCTAGATTTGGAGTAAGGTCTAAGGTTCAGAATTCATCAGAAGGAGATGATACAAGAAAGGCTATCAAAACATGTACTGTTGTTCATACAGGGGTTCAGCAGAGAACAAAGGTAGGGACCAAAGATGGCTCAAGTGCAACTGAAAAGTGATTTTGCATATAGATTGATGGCAACAACATTAGACAAAGGATACAAAGACTACTGCAACAAGAAAAAACATATAGTATGTAGATTGATGACAAATATAACCCATGGCCAACTATTGCTTTAGGTCCTTCCATAAGTCCTGTGAATTGTGCTTATACATATTTATACAGTCAAAATCTAAAATAAGCCCCAGAATTAGGAGATAATATAATAAGTGCAGAATTATAGACCTAAGCGTGGTTGTGCCCAAAGATTTAAATTCTCTGTAGCTTCCATTTTGCAACACCATTTTCATTTTGAACCAATTTTTCAAAATAAAGTTTAGCACTTAGTCATTCCCATTGTTGTTCCATTGAATAGATGTAGGGTTGCACATAGCACTAATAATAGATGAGTACTTTTGAAAATCCAATGCTATGAACCTACCTCTGACCATCTAATAGCACTGGAAACAACTTTCCCAAAATAATATGTCTGAAATTTGCAATAAATTGATGGTGGCCAGATTTTGTGTTGTATAAATATCATCTTTCTTTCCACATGTAGCTATGCACCAACTATCAGAGGATTGGAATTAAAGTCTACCTAGCCAATATACCTGGTAAGAATATTGTTCTATGTTACCAAAATCCAACTCTCATCCATTTTTAAGCCTTGAAAAGGGGTTGAATAAATGACAGGGACAGGTATAGATTTAATCCACATGAAGCATGTTACTGCATCCTACACAAATAGGAGAAGCATCAGTTCCTGGATAATTGCTCACTAGCTACAACTGAAATTAAGTACGGAGTACCATAGAAATGGGAAAACCACAATTTCAACTCTGTTCAGAACTTGGAAGATAATAAAGCTGCAATCAAATAGGAAAGGCACACTTCCGATCTCACCAAAAAGGGTTGCTTTTCAGGAAGCGATCTCCTGTAAAGTGACCCTTCCATCTATCAGGGAACTGCTTCAGCCTGGCCCCAAGTAATAGCTCTACAGCTGGACCAAAAAGATCCATCTTGGGCAAATTGCAGTCAGGCTGGAGCATAACTCCCTGTATGCCATGTAACTACCAGGAAATTAAATGCACCAGATAATTCTACAAAAATTTTCCCATGTGATCACACCCTACGTTGTATGTAATAATGGCCAAAATAGCCATTGTTTGGCAGCAGGAAGGATGGCAGACTATCACTAAGACTCCCTGCTTTCATTTTGGGTTGCCTGCAACTTCATCTCATTGGGCACAAGTCATATGGAACCTTTAAATTAGTGGCAAACTATTGCTGCCAATGATGTCATTCCCACTACACCAGCATAACTATGCAACAGGATACTGGCCAAAGTCAAAGTAACAAGGGCACAATTAAGTTACATTTCAAAAGTAAAGTAGTGAGTGGGAACCATCCCATGCTGTGTATATGTGTGTATCCTACTTAGTTTTAAAACTTCCTTATGAAGGCAATTTTTATGTATTTTTGCAGACAATTTGAGTTAAATTTTTACACTATTGTCTTATCAGTTCTAGGAGTAAAACTAAAGTAACAAAAAAGTAATGAGTAACATAGCAGTTTATTTAAAAAGTAGAACATAAAAAAGCTTATTTTTAAAAAACAATATAATTAATTATTATTTTAAAAGTAATTTTCCAAGCTCTGATATTCATATTTTATTTGTACCAACTTTAATAACATTCTTGGAATCACTTTTAGGGGGAACGTTGATGATTAATGAAACAAATAAATAAAATCCAAAGGTGATACATTGACAGTAGTCTCACATTAGTACAGTAGTACAAAGATCCATCATTGCTCAACACAGCCTATGGTTTTAAATAGATATTTTGTATCACATGGGAGAAACACAGTTAATGGTATCCAGAAAGATGATGCTGCATGTGATGTCCTCTGCGTGACAGACACATGTTTTGTTTTATTTTTCACAAAGCAGAGTAATTTCAGAGATTTCCATGCTTCCTCTCTTCCCNCCCCCCCCCCCCCGTTGATATGCTCTACCCTTTCAGAAAGCTGTGAAAGCAAGTGAAGAGGATGGTTTTCGTAAGACAAGTGAAAGGAACAATGGTTAAACAGTCCCTTCAGTATCTTAACATTCCTGATTTTCCTCCAGAAGAAAATTCCTTCCACTACAAAATTAATCCTTTCCTTCTGTAGGATAAAAGTAGAATTGCAAGGAACCATGGATACTTTGGACATCTAGTATGGGTGTGTGTGGGGGGGAGTGCGTCTTGCTGTCTATCCACATGGGGGGGGCAACATAGCAAATAGGCAATGTTGTTCTCTCCCACTCCCTCACCCTTCAGAGTCACTGTGCAAATCCTTCTCCCAAGATTTTCAGAACCATTTTGTTCCTTTGTTTCTATCACTTATCATCCCAGGAAAAAAAATCTGTTGTATACAAGCCAACTATATTCACAGTACTTGACAAGACCATTTCCCAACCAGCAGCTCCTTTACTCCAGGTTATGAAACTTCAGCCTGGAAAAGTGACAAAACTCATCTTTGAGATTCTCTCTGAATTGTACTGTGTTTGGTGAATTTTAGATACAGTACATTGACTTTTGTGCTCCATAGGCCTGCTGCAACAGGCAAGGGGTATTGCACAACTTTTTTCCAGAGCTTGGACAGAATGGCTGAATTTCTATTGCTTAGAGTAGTAAGTCACAATTGGAGTATGCCCATTGAATCAGTGGGGATTTGTAAGTTCCATTGATTCAATGGGCCTACTCTAATTCTGACTTACTAAGCTAAGCAACAGAATTTCAGTCAATGTGTTAAAAAGTAACATCATTTGAATTACTCATCACTTTTCTGAGGGTAACATATTTACTTTTGTAACAGAAATGAACTCCACCACTTCTAAATGAATGAAATACCATTACAATTATAGTATAATATTTATTAGTGCTTACTTTTAATTGCTTAATATGTAGATCTTTTCTACTTTTAAATTGAAAATAAGGGTGCCATGCTGCTCAAAACAACATAAAAGCCTGCCTTCCTCCCTTCCCTGACAGCTATACAGTCCTGGAAGTGTGGGAAGCAGTCTTTTCCTTGAGTACCTAGAATGTTTTGTTGCTCTGTTAGTGAGATGTTTAGTCATCCCTGGAGGTGGTGGGTGGCTGCCTCCCACATTTCTGGCATTATGTTAGCACTGATAGAGAAGATAGAGACATGATTGTGCCCTGCTCCGAGCAGCAAAGGGTCCTTACTTTCAAGTGAACAAATCTAACTCATCTTAATTAAAATTAAACAATAACATGCAATGTGACAAAAAGGCAACAAGTTACTTTTAAAGGCAGCTAACAAAATGCCTTGCTTGGAGTGCATGAGCAATGGGACATTCCACGTGATGTTGTCTTCTCCAGGAAATCTAGCAAATGGTTACATCCCAGTAGAAGTGATTGCTTTCCAACAGACAGTCCTTGCCTTCAGTCATGCAATGTATCTTTATCTTCTTTGTTAGCCCAAGTTTATGATGACATTCGCACTGGAGGAGTCTTTGAAGAAGGAGGCCTTGAGCCTAGTCATCTCTTTGTGACCATACATGACGCTGTTATGTTTGCAACAATAAATGGCAACAAAGCTGTATATCGCTCTGCGTTAGACCAGGTATGTATTGTTCTTTTTTCGCTATTAATACTGGTGGAGGTGCATCTATGTTTCATATTTCCCATATTAATTTCAGACCTTGTCTTGAGCAGATTGGCTAACTTAGAACATCATATGCAGCTAGGTACATTCCCTATTTTATTTTATTCTTCATCACCAACAGACTCACAATCCCACTCTTGTGTGCTAGAAACCCCATCGATCTTAATAATCTCCTCTTGTCATTAGACATTGTCACCCATTTTCAAGCCAAGTAAGTGATTACAACTGTAAGTGATACAACAGTGTTTGGCTTATGTATTCAAAATGAATGCTAACATTCTTTCTACTAAAACAAGTGGAGAAGAGGAAGTCAGAGGCTACACCGTAAAGGACTGGCCAATGGATAAACATCAATGTATGCTGGCAGTTAATGGACAGCTCTTTATTTGTAGAAAGGATTAAAAGTAATGGAACAAAAATGGATGCACAAATGCATGGCAAAGGTGCATTTAACGGCATGTGATATGAAAGGAAAGGGATGATTTTACTGCAGCACAGGCACTCTCATCCTGCTTTACTGTTCAAACTCCATTTTGCTAATCTTTCCTATGGCTGTGTTTGCTCAACAGCACTGTTTACCTAGTTTAGCTAAGCTAACATCTTGAGAGAAGACCATGGCTTACTTTTTCTGCCAATCCTCTGGACCTAATTATACTACTAATAATGATAAAACATACAGTCTTGTTGACAGTCCAGGCTAAGTGTAATGAGGAAATGCCTTAAAAACCATTTTAAAAACACTGAGTAGAAAAGATGGAAATTAAATCCTGTATGGTACATAGGACGCAGGAAATGAGCTATCAGCTAACAATGTGGCATATCCAGAGATGACTGGCATGTTATTTGTTTATTTATAAAATGGGAAACAGTAGCCACTATCAAATTACTTTCTGGTAACATCTGGACCATGTGTTTTGGGGTGTTCAAACAATCATGTATTCTTGATTCATCTGAATGAAATAATGTCTGGGAAGACATGCCATTACAGAAATCATTGTGCTTTTCTGTTTCTTTCTTTCTTTCTTGAAGCCTTTGCAGAAGTCCCTTTGTTATTATATCCCTGTATTTGTAGGGATGCGGCAATGAATCCTAAATGCTTGTGCTAGTCCAATGGTGGGCAAAATGTATCCCAGGAGGCACAAGGCCCAACTGCACTACCCAGTGCTCCTGGAGCATCCAGCATCCCACCTCACCAAAGCTTATTTTTTAAAAAGAAATTGCTCAGAATGTCCCTTTGTGCTCCAAGTAATTTTGACATATTTGGACGGCTATCAATACCCCTTAGCGCACCTGCTCTAAAAATTGTAATTATTTTTTAACTTGGCCATTAAAAGTGAAAATAACCTTTTTTAGAACAAAAATATTTGGGGAGCAGGTGTCGTCCTCTAAGGTCCAGTGGTAGGCATGTGCCACAATCAGAACTGTATCAGTTGACTTCCCAGGTCAAACAAACTTGTCAGCAGTCAAACATAAGTCTTACAGGGACTGAACTTTGATTCGGTGGTCCTCACTCAGTTCATTATTTATTTCAAGTCCAGATTAAACATGTCCTACCACTTATCTGAATCTGATCAATAAGACAAGCAGAACTCAATGTCATCTGCATACTGATTATCTTACAGTATATGACAAAGCTGAATATATAAAGGGAACCCTTGAAAATGCTGTATTTGAAAAGAGGTAGGATGACCTCTTTTCCGCTTGTGGGTGTGATCTCAATGGTTCATTTGGATTTGCAAGTCATAATTGTTGCATCATGAGCCTGGAAATTAGCATCCAAAGCAAACACCACAACAAACTGGTGGAAACACATACAGTAATTGTAAAAAGGGCGATGTTGCACTCAGTTATCAAGGTCATGGGATAGTCTTGCTTCTTACTTCTTTATTTGCATTGCACTACTTGATAAAGGATTTGTCAACCCAGCCTTCAGCTGACATGATGAAGCCCCTTATCTTTGTTGTGTAAGAATTATATTTGCTCCTAAGAGATTTGCTGAAACAATCTGGTTATCATTCTGATGTGGGGCAAAGGACTAAGACCTTCCTCCATGGTGAGGTTGAGTCAAGATCATGAGATACAAATATAAGGCTAGAAAAATATTTTAAGAAGCTCAGCATACATTGCACACCTGAATATTTGTGTCTTTTATACCTTAACAATAACTTTTAGTGATTGCCACTGAAGCACCATACACTACAAAGCATCATCCAACCTCCACTATTAAAAAACTACTGATAGAACCTATCTCTTAGAATGTAATGAGTCTTTTCTTGTAAGATATTTAGACCTTGGGTACAAGTACAGCATCTTAAAAAGCAGAGATATCACCTTGCCGACAAAGGTCCGCATTGTCAAAGCTATGGTTTTTCCAGTAGTGATGTATGGAAGTGAAAGCTGGACCATAAAGAAGGCTGACTGCTGAAGAATTGATGCTTTTGAATTGTGGTGCTGGAGGACACAACTTAACGACTGAACAATAACACAAGTACATTGGTACAAAATGCAGCCACAGCAGTTCAGCTAGGAAGTGCCTCCATGTGTTTCTAGCCATGTTAATCCTGAATATACATATACAACAGTACAGTAAGTCCTCTGAATCAGAGGGAATTTGGCAAGTCAACCTCTCTGCAAGTTCCACTTAGCCTATTCTAGTTGCAACCTATTACTGGACTCCAGCCAATATCCTTCAACAACTTTATGAAATGCAGAAAGTTTTCATGGTGTTTGAAATAAGGTAATATTACAGGAAGGGACAACAAGGTGTGTTTATAAACATGCCACATGTCTTCAGAGCTGAAATTTTACTTCAGTCTCAATCTTGGATTACTTCTTGTGCCCTGAACTATGATAATTGGTCAAAACTTTTGTGGCTAGATATACTGGTGACTTATCTCAATATTTGTAGTAGCTTCTAATTTTTACCTTACTGTCATTTTTATTTGGTAATTTTCCTTATTGTTGTGTTGACTCTTGAACAAATAAATAACTGATTACTTTGACTCATAAACTACATTTTCATGTTTTATAGCTTGTAATATTAACCATTTGTTGTGCAGAGATCAAGTCAGATAGAAGTCTCTATCTCTGATGAATCCTTGGAAGATAGTAGTGCAGAATTCCAAAACCTGGAAGAAGTAAGTTGAAAGTGTGGGAGAGGGATGGAGATAAATGAAAAGTCGGAATTTTCTGTTTACACATTGGTTCTGTACTTTGTTGTGCTTCAACCCCATTGAAAGCAATGGCACAAGTGATTAATAACTAAAGTCCCACTGATATCAATAGGGCTAAAATGTGATTTACCTTCTCTGGATTCATTTCCCATTTCTCTCTGTGTATTTCTGACTCCATACCATCCATAACATTTGTTCAAATCCTCCTTTTTCTCTAGGAAATGTTTGGAAGCATTTTTCATTCGGATGCACAGACTACATTGTGAATTCAAAGAGAAAACTAGTGAGATGGAAAACATCTTGACCATGATATTCCTATATGAAGGAAGGCAAGGAAAACAACTTTGTGCATTTTTGGCACAGGACCATGGGTACATTTACAGCGTGGGGACATCTCTCTTACCTGGCATTCTCTCCTTCCATTCCAAACTGTTTATCAAACTCAGAGCAACAGATTCTTGAAGCAGCTGGCATGGGCAACAGAAGGAGGAACTCAGGGAATACTTTTCTCTGTCCAGAAGGAGCAGAAGAGTACATGACAGTTACTATTTCTCTCTTATTCCCATTTCCTTCTTCCTATATTTCAAACAATGCTTACAAACCCAAGACTGCATATAATACATCTGCATAACTTAATAACTTCCCAGCATCTTGAACATCAAGAATACAGACAGTGTTTGGTTGACTGGCAGGTACAACTCTCACTTGCGGTACTGCAATTTGAATATTGAAGGGGACAGTTGTTTCTAAAGGGTGCACTGAATTTTATAGACTTCACACAAAAAGTAAGCTGGTCTCAATGATGCTGCCTAGCTCATTCTCTGTTTTTCTTAGTAAAATCCACACAAAACTGCTTGAATTTTTGTGGCCTAAATGCACCATGCATATTTGGTGACTATCCATAATTTCTTAGAACATGCACTAAGAAATTACATGTGCTATGGTACTGAGCATCATCAAATGATGGCCTAAAGATAGTGCTACCTTTCCATTAGTCCTCTACCTTGCCTTATTTTTCCTGTTTTGGAACCCTTCTGTTCACGGAGGGGGGGGATTATTACTTTCCATAGGAGCTAAATGCAAAATACTTTCCCAGTACTGTACTTTGAATGGAAAAATGAAGTTTAGTTGGCATGCAGCCTTCTAAATGGACACGAAGCCAAATACTATGTTTTCATTTATCTTGATGGCTTTCTAACTAGTCCTCATCTTTAGGAATTTCAAAAGAAAAGCTACTTCCAAAGTATTTGGTGCTTTAGGTCCCTGTTCTCAATAGCCAAACTTTTATGACAAGTTCAGCTTGGGTTCATTTTGGGAAATACAGGCTGAAAGGAGCTGAGTCTGATTGCCAGTCCCATACATATTGTGTACAGAAGAGGATACAGAGAAATTGTATGTCTTAAATACTGTGTTAAATATATTTAGAATGCAACTTACTCCATGCACAGGCATCACCTTACATGCAATTTAAGCTTAAAACTAGCATTTGGTTTATTATATGATTCTTCTCAAGCTGTTTTAGGCCATTCAAACGCATGGTTTTTCTTTAATGTACATAACAAAGAGAATCTACCTCTTAGGCAGACCTGCCTAATTAGTTAACATAGAGCCTCTTTTGTAATTATATTTTGTTAATGCAAAATAATTTTTATATAAAAATGTGAATGATGCAAATTATTATTGATGTTGGATAGTTTTCTGTCCTAATACAGTCTTGCACCCTCAAAGGTGTTGAATCTTTAAAGCTATGACTTAAGGTTAAAAGCATTCCAAAGTTAATGCAACGCTTGAGATTTCCAATTCAAGCTAAATGACATGGAAGGATGAGGGAATATAAGTTTGTATGAAAATGCTGATCTTTACAAGTATCACTGTGAACATTTGTTTGGGGGGGCTCATAACCCCTACCAATTTCTAAATAAATTTTTTTTAAACCAGAAAAATATTTTGTCTAGCTCCACCCCTTTACTGAAGAAGCTGATGTACACCTTAATCTAAACATGACAGAGGCAGAGACCAAAATTTGCACATGTTATTAGAACACAGAGAGATGAGTTCTCAGCCAGCATGTCCACAAGCAAGAAAAAAAAATCAGCTAAGAATTCCATTGTCTCCCCCCCAAAAAAAATCCCAATCCTCATGACTGATCTCCAGGATTTAAGCATGAGATGCCTTTGAACTCTTATTTCACGAAAAAATCCCAATCCTCATGACCGATCTCCAGGACTTAAGCATGAGATGCCTTTGAACTCTAATTTCACAAACATGGAAGACTGCCTCAACCACCCCCTTTCAACGGGTGGAGAACTGTTTCCAACAGCTAATGTTTGTAGTCTGAATACTGTGAAAACTTAAAATGTCCCTGTGATGAAGGAATGATTTAGGAACAGTGATGTAGTCACAAATCCAGAAGTGCAGGGCTCCTCCAGAAGAGGCTGCTCTTTCCTTACTATGTGGACATGCACACACATTCACATGCTCCAAATTATGACATGTGCAACTACGGAGTGGGGAGCCATGAATGCATGGGGAGGGAAAGGAGAAGCTGCATCCAGAGATGAGCCTCCCTCCTTCTTGCCCAGTCTACTTATAGCAGCGGTTCCCAAGCCAGGGTCCCTAGATGTTCTTAGACTGCACACTCCTAGAAATCCTGGCCAGCAGTGCTAGTGGTAAAGGCTTCTGGGAGATTTAGTCCAAGAACATCTGGGGACCCAAGGTTGGGAACCACTGACTTATAGAGAAAAATGTTTACTCTTCTTCAATTTGCGCAGTCAATCATTGTCACATGAAGCATACATTGCTCCACAAATACGTTTATTGGTATTAGGCAACCACATGCACATTGATTAACCAATTTGTTGACATGGTGCAATAATTATCTGCAACGAAATGCACACATTTCTTCACCAGCTAGTCTGTCACTTAAGTCTGATCCTATGCATGATTCTTTGAGATAAATCCTGTTTAGTAAAATGGACACCCATCCTAAAGTTATTTGTTCAAGTATTTTTGAGGAGTATGTTCCTGCAGGCAAGCTGTGAATAGAAAGGTTACATTAGATGGAGACAGGCATTACTATTTGTTATTTTTTAAATGTTTTGTTTCCCTTCTTGCAATTTATCTACATCTGTGTCTTGGAATGATCCAATATGAATTACAGTGTTTCCATGTTTCTTTTAAATGAGATAACGTGATGAACTTCAACCTGCTTCACCACGTGGTGAAGACCAGAAGGGACTGTGAAGAGCTCCAGGAGGATCTCTCCAAACGGGGAGACTGGGCGGCAAAATGGCAAATGTGTTTCAATATACAAAAATGTAAAGTAATACATATTGGGGCAAAAAATCTGAACTTTATTTATCAGCTGATGGGTGCCGAGCTGTCTGTGAGGTAGGAAAGAAATTTTGGTGTGCTGGTGGACAGCTCGACGAAAGTGTTAACCCAGTGTGCAGCGGCAGTGAAGGCTAATTGCATGCTAGGTATCATTAAAAAGGGGACTGGAAATAAAACAGCCAACATTATAATGCCATTGTACAAAACGCTGGTAAGGTCGCACCTGGAGTATTGCAAAGTTCTGGTCACCACACCTCAAAAAAAAAACCATAGTGGAACTGGAAAAGGTGCAGAAGAGAGTGACTAAAATGATTACTTATGAGGAAAGGCTACCCCATTTGGGGCTCTTTAGTCTAGACTGAGAAAAGGCACCTGAGGGGGACATGATTGCGACGTATAAAATTATGCAGGGGATGGATAAAGGGGATAGAGGGAAGCTCTTTTACCGCTCACACAATACCAGAACCAGGGGACATCCACTCCAATTGAGTATGGGGAGAGTGAGAACAGACAAAAGAAAATATTTCTTTACCCAGCGTGTTGTTAGTCTGTGGAACGCCTTGCCACAGGAAGTGGTGATGGCATCTGGCCTAGGTGCCTTTAAAAGGGGATTGGACAGATTTCTGGAGGAAAAGTCAATTGCAGGTTACAAGCCATGATGGGGATGATTAATCTCCAGGCTTAAAAGGAAGGTACCTCCAAATGCCAAATGCAGGGGAGGGGTAACAGGAGATAGGTATCTAGTTGTCTCATGTGCCCCCACAGGCATCTGTTGGGGCCACTGTGAGATACAGGAAGCTGGACTAGATGGGCCCTTGGCCTGATCCAGCAGTGCTCTTCTTATGTTCTTATGCAGTACTTCTGTTTTTTTACATTCAGCTTCCTAGCATGCACTGTCTCAAAATTTCTGTGAGTTTGTTCTATTTTGAGCTGTTATGACATGATATGACACACACTTTATTATGGCCATAGGTCAGCCATATTAGGTTAACAAGATTAAAATATAGCAAACCATATAATATTTACAGTCTAATCAAACCAGATTTAAAATCAAATCATAATTAAGTGTAAACTCGTAATCTAGTGAGTGCAATATTTCCTTATTGTATACACTGCTGCATAAAATTTTTGCAACCTTGGCTGTGATTTCCCCTCAGGAGTCGGAGAAGTAAAAAATTTGTCAAGTCTACTTGGATAATACCTTAAAATTGGAGAAAATAGTAAATTGCAGGAGTCCTCATAACATGCACAGTACAACAGGCCATCTTCCACAGTTTCCACCATGAAAGATTAGCAAGTGCTGGTCATAAGGGATTTATAAATATCTGCCCTCTTAAAAAGCTGAAGTCAGAGTGTAGAAAAAGGCTAGGGTAAAAGCTATGACAACAAATTTCACACATGTCCCTAGTGGATGTTGTCATCTATACAAGTATTCACCTTTTTCTTGGCCAGGTCCTGATTTTGTACTTTGGTTTGCTCACCTGTTCCCTCCAACTCACAATCAGAGCCTTGCTTTCATCATGCAACAGCTAAATTGTACTATTTCATGCTAAATCTCAGTATATCTCCAGTACACATATACTTTCATTTGCTGTTCTTGAAATGTCATCGTGACATGCTGGTAAAGCAACACAAACACCACTATGGACCCTGAACATGCAGCTCAAGACCCCAGTCTGAAGTTCTGGCCTCATGGTATGTTTGTCTCACTGCCTGTGCTCCTTGACCATACGATGACATGACCACACTGGAAAGGGAACATGGTACGACTAGTATGAATTATTGCAGCCCCCTTTATACACACCCCAGGCACTTTAGGCATAAACAAAATATGTCATGTTGCATGCGCTAACACATAAAGAATTGAGAAGGCTCTGGTAGCCACAGGCATGGCTTTGCCTGCTGAGTCCCTGTCCACATGGAATCATGTAAAATCTCCCATCCAATCACGGCTGTGCATGTGAATGGGCTATATCACAACAAAGTGCAGCATGCTGTAAGAGCAAAGGCGAAGGGAGAAGCAGCAGCAAAGACATGGAATCATGTAAAATCTCCCATCCAAGCATGTGAATGGGTTATATCACAACAACGTGCAGCATGCTGTAAGAGCAAAGGAGAAGGGAGAAGCAGCAGCAAAATACTGTATATATAACTAACCTGCAAGGTGCATGCAAAAGTTGTGATATGAACAGAAAGAAACTAAGACACAGCAGAATGATAAGGACCATCTGCTGCTTTCACCTGCAAGGTGCATGCAAAAGTTGTGATAGGAACAGAAAGAAACTAACACACAGCAGAATGATAAGGACCATCCACTGCTTTCCTTTAACTCAGTGGTCCTCAACCTTGGACCTCCAGATGTTCTTGGACTTCAACTCCCAGAAATCCTGGCCAGAAGGGGTGATGGTGTAGGCTTTTGGGAGTTGTAGTGCAAGAACATCTGGAGGCCTAAGGTTGGGGACCACTGCTTTAACTCTCTGTTACAAAGTGTACTGGGATTTTTTCACCATGCTCAAACATCTTTTCGCTGCTTCCACAGCTCAAGTATTTGTTTTGGTTCAACATCCATTATCAGGAAACTTTGGTTCCAACATACATATAAATGTTTTATTATCTAATAGACCACTGCAGCTATTTCCAATTTTCAGTGAAGCTCAGGCCTAAGGTTGGGGACCTCTGCTTTAACTCTCTGTTACAAAGTGTACTGGGATTTTTTCACCATGCTCAAGCATCTTTTCTCTGCTTCCACACCCCAAGTACTTATTTGTTTTGGTTCAACATCCATTATCAGGAAACTTTGGTTCCAACATACTGTACATATAAATGTTTGACTATATAATAGACCACTGCAGCTATTTCCAATTTTCAGTGAAGCTCAGTCCCATGCAAGTTTACTCAGAAACAAATCTTGCTGTGTTCAAAGGGATTTACTTCCAAATAGTGTAAAGGACAGCTTTGGGCCCAAGAACAGTCTGCTTAAGGGGCTTCTATCTGCACTAGACCAGAAATACTTCCATTTCAACGCCCACAGTTCTCAACACAAGGAAGAATTCTGTGACGTACAAAACTTTGCTCATTTGCAATTTTTAAATAACACCAATAATATTATACAATAACAATAACATTATGAGCATAGAAAAGCAGTATGATCATGCTTGTAGCTGAAGGCCACAGTCCTAAGTACACCTGCATTCCTATTTTATGCATATATATTCGGGAATTAAGTCCCATTTTATGCAATCTTCGCAGGAGCCCAGGGGTGTGCCTTTGAATCTGAGGAACTTCAGAGTAAAAACCCCGGGGCGAGACGGTCCGGAAGCCTTCTCCACCTGCGCCGGTGATGAATAACCAGCTCCATTAATGATTGGCGCCAGGACGAGTCGGCCTCCCGAAGCGCCCCGAGTTCCGGCGAGATCGCGTCGCGAGAAGATGGCGGCGGGCC